CACATAACTCAGGCCATGTGTACAAGAAGCCTCCATCACCATCAGAAAGGCTCAGGCCACTGCACAACTGCAGARACTCTAGACAAGACACAGCACACTTCAGAATTCAAATAACCCTGCATGACACCTGCCCTTCCTATTTCTGAAGGAATGACATGAAGCCTGAGAGGACGACTTACGTGGAACACTGTACGACAACATCAGCAATCTGTAATAAAAGGCACAATTACCATATACTCTTCAAATTAGTTATATTCTTCTAAGTATCCCAAATAAAAATAGTCCTGTACTGTGTCTTGAAGCTGGCCTTTGACACACATCACATGGGAGTGATGTCCCTGAGACCCAGCAGAGGCTTCTAATTATTATCAAATCCCACCCACATTTCCGTTGGCCTCCTTTCCCCTGCCATGCACAGCTGGGCTATTTCATGCACTGAGCTCATAAACTGTCATTGGTAAGTGAAGCTGGATGTAGTCAGGCCAGTATATATATATGGACATCTGACTGCAGAGAAAACACCTAAGGGCTTATTATTTAAATCAGCCTGTGAGCATAGGATATCCTGCTGGTGGCATTTCAAATGGATAGAGATACAGCTATCAAAGGGGATACAGCACAGATGCTACATTGTAGACTGTAAAATTCTTTGTTTTATTTATATTTTTATGAAGCAGTACTGAATATTATCAATGTAAGTAGGTCTTTCTTGCCTAATACATGTTCATCTTGAAGATAATTTCAAAGAGCTRATTCCTTAACTGTGTTTGCACACAAATACAGTCAAGTCCTTCTGAGAGGAATTTTGCTTGAGTAAGGACTGTGGAATCAGACTTTGGGGGTCAGCTTCCTGCCCCACAGAATGCAGTGGGAAAGTTYCCACAACCAGAGGGGGCCTCTCACAGCACATTCCAGGCGGGAAGCATCTGCAGAGGTTCTATGCAGACAGTGCCATGTCTCAAGATGCTATCAGCATTTGTGACAGCCAAAGCCACTGTGCCATGCCCTGAGAAGATCCAAATCAAATTCCATAAACTTATTATTTGCAGCATAAGCAAGGGTGTGTGCACGCATGTGTGTGGATGTGTGTGTCCATATACCAATGCAGCATTAGGCCTTACACTGTAGAAGAAATCCACACTCCTGAGTTTACAATATTCCCACCATCAGGACGCACAGTGAGAGAAAAGCTTATCTTACTTTGAAACCTCTATAAGGAAGTTGTTCTCAATCTCATGAGGTTCAGGGAAACTTAACCACAAGTTGACAAAGAGACAAATGAAGCCAAATTCATGAGTTCACTTGACACTATTTTCAGGCTGTCTCCTATTTGCCAGGCACTCTTCCAAAAATGGGATACAGCAGCAAAAAGAAAACCATGATCCTACATTCTGTTGTTTCACTGAGAACTCTGAACATACTCATCAGTTCAGATCTGAACACCAACCACACCCTCTCTCTTACCATTATATACCACTTCCTGGAATAAATCTGGGACATAAGTGGTGGTCCACATACTTACTAAATTAATATGTGGGAACAGGGGTTTATTGTTGTTATTTTGTTGTAGTTTTTGGTACTAGGGATTGAACTCAGGGAAACTTAACAGCTGAGCCACATCCTCAGTCCTTTTTTTTTCTGTTTTGAGACAGGGTCTCACTAAGTTGCTTAGAGCCTTGCTAAATTGCTGAGGCTGGTTTTGAACTTGCAATCCTTCTGCTCTCAGTATCCAGAGCTGCTGGGATTATAGACCTGTACCACCATGCCCAGYAGACCAGGGATTTGACCTTGAACTCCCGAAAGCCTCATGAAACTCTTTGGAGACAAAAAAAAAGCAAAATAATAATTTATCCATTCATCTGAGGAGTTGTATGAATAAGATGAATAAGATATGGCCTCAGCTGGAAAGCTTGGGAGAAAAAGTATGGAGATCCAGAAGAGCTAGTGTACTTATGTATTTATTTATTTAGGTACTGGAGATTGAACCCAGGGGCTCTTAGTCACTGAGCACCACCCCCAGCCCTTTTTAAATTTTTTTTTTGTAGTTGTAGATAGATAGAATGCCTTTATTTGTTTATTTTTATGTGCTGCTGAGGATCGAACCCAGCGCCTCATGCATGCTAGGCAAGCTCTCTGCCACTGAGCTATAGTCCCAGACCACTGAGCCCCCTTTTTATTTTGAGACAGAGTCTCGATAAATTGCTTGAGGACCTTGCTAAGTTGCCGAGGCTGGCTTTGAACTTGCAATCCTCCTGCCTCAGCCTCTTGAGCCCCTGAGATTATAGGCTTGTGCCACTGTGCCTGGCAAGCTAGTACATTTAAAAAGTGGTAAGTATTTTGGAGCAAGTGGGAAGGCAGCAGGAGGTGAAACTAAAGAGATAGCCAACATTGAACATAAATAACCTAAGCATTTCAAGTTTTATTTTTGATTTTGTCTTTGTTTTTAATTGAGGTATTTCTCACGCATGCTGGGCAAGAAGTCTGCCACTGAGCCAGACCTCCAGTTCAGGATTTGGATTTCTATCTTGGTGATGACGGAGAGCAAATGCTGAAAATAAGGCAGAGGAGTAACCAGACTGAATTTGTGTTAYGGGATTACCACTCTGGCTGCAGAGGTGGAGAAGACACAGCAGGCAGTTAAGGCTAGGTGGGAGACTACCACAGTGGTCCAGATGAGACCTGTTAAGGCCTTACTTTTAGATGGTGACAATGGGGAGGAGAGGAGATGACAAATTCAAAAGCTGTGGAAACAGAATGGGAAGGACTCTGTGAGGGACTGCATGGAAAGAAAATGCCAATTTCCCCTCTATACTAAAAGACACTTTGTGGCGGGGAATGAGGCCTATAGGAAGTGATTAATATGCACTTGTAAAGGCCAAAAAGATAAGAAAGGAGGAGGAAGTGGCATGCTCTTGGAGGCATAGTGGTTAAACATGCAGAGTCAGATAACCTAGGTTAAAATCACAACCCCACTACTTTCAGGCTGTGTGACTTTGGGGAAATGGCTTAATCTCACTGTTTCAATTTCCTCACTCATAACATAGGAATAATCTAGTTTGTGGGACTGGTGTGTTGGCAAATGGATGCATGCCCATTCTACTCAATATTATCGTTTTGCTATCTGCAGGATTCTAACATGTGTGTTTGCTATGATTCAGGATAAAAAAAAAAAAAAAAAAAACTCTAATGACTCCAAATGTCTGCAACATTTAGTTCTAATCATCATGCAATACACAGTTCTCTATGCTTTGGTCCTTTTCTGTGACCTGTATCATACTGCCCTATCATCTCCCAGGTCTAGGTCTTACACCATTCCTGTTTCCTATCCTGCCTTCCCCTGGTGTTTTAGTTAGCTTTTTCACTGATGTAACTAAAAGATCTGACCAAAACAGTTACAGAGGAGAAAAGATTTGTTTAGGGGCTCACGGCTTCAGAGTTCTTAGTCCATAGAAGGCTGACTCCATTCCTTGGGGCTCAAGGTGAGGTAGAATATCATGGTGGGAGAATGTGGTGGAGGGAACTCATATCATGGTGATCAAGGAGCAGAGACCCCAAGCTCCAGATACAAAAAATACACCCCACAGCCACACCCCCACAGTGAGCCACTTCCTCCAGCCACAACCCCACCTGCCTCCAGTTACCACTTAGTTAATCACATCAGGGATTAATTCACTGATTAGGTTAAGGCTATAGCCCAATCATTTTTCCTCCAATCCTCTTGTATTGTCTCATATGTGAGTTTTTGGGAGACACCTCCTATCCAAACATAATACCTGCCTTAATTTCTGCACATCATAATCCATTTCAAATACCACTTCTTCTGGAAAACATTACATTTAGAATCTCTGAAGCTTTTAAAAATCAAATTTCTCTGTATTTGCCTTAAGTCTCCTGGTAAGGTTTGAATGGGCTTCTTGGCAGTGGCAACTCTCCCTTACTCATTTTCCCTATTTCCTATGGCACCTATCTTTGCTTAGGAAGATTTAATACATCTTTGTTGAACTGAAGTTTGGACCTACAAGATGAAGCATTTATGAAATTGAGATTACTACCACCTACTTCACAGTTCACAGGGTGGTTGTGAGTGCTTGGCATATAAAAGTATCATCATTCACATCATCATTTCTAAGAAGAAAGGGTTTCACTTGTTCTTGGCCTACCATAATATAACTTGTCTCATTTTAATGAGTTGGAGGAGAATGGCATTATTTTAGAATTCCTGGAAAATTGGCCACCAGAGTCAATACATAGGGAACCATAACTGTGGCCCACCAGGGATTCGTTCCTTAACAAATACTGGAGGCATTTTTTTCTTTTCAGTCTTGAAGGATTCATGCTCAGCTCTTGATCTCTATAATCTTGGGAAATGAGGTGACTGGGAAGGATACAGCAATCACCTCCTCTCACCTTAGCCCATGCAAGCCAACTACTGATGAGGTTTGAAATAGAGCCCCAGCTGCAGGGAGCAGGACTGTGGGTGGTTTGGACTGGCTTCTCCAAAAGGACCAAGCAGGCAATCGTGACAGTCCTTGAGTTTTATTTTTATTTTTTAAATCTACTTTGAAGAATTTTGTGAGTCCCAAAGGAACTCTTTTATGTCATTTTTTTTTTCTTTTTCTTTAGAATTTCCTCTAAAACCCATCAGGGAGATTTAACATATTCCAGATTTAGCACTTTAATGGGCTTTTGTTTCTGCCTTAATTTTTCCCCATTTTTAATTTTTCCTCTGATTTTTAATTAGCTATCTCTGGGATTACAAAGTTTGCAAACTCAACAGCAGAATTTCCRGAAAATCTTTCATGTATGAGTTCATTATGGTAATACTGTGTACCCTGCCTCACTCAGAACATAAGTCTCAGTCTCTGAGGCTCATTCTGCACCAGCGGACTGTGTTCACCAGGATAAACCACTTAGGGACACTGGCCTTTTAACAAAGGCACAAAAAAACTTAGTTTCAGTTCAGCTTTTTATCATCATCTTGGTAATTTTTCTCTCTCTAGGAACCTCAGACAAGTCTAATCTGGAGCTGATCACTTTGACATGTACCTGTGTGGCTGCGACCCTCTTCTGGCTCTTGTTAACTCTCTTTATCCGAAAGCTGAAAAGGGTAAGAACATATCAGATGAAGTTCTCTGCTCCTTTTTACATAATTTTCTAAACTGCCTGATCTGCTGTCTAGAACAAGTACTACACAATGTTAGACTCTCTTCTTTCCCTTCCTTCTAGTTCCTATCTCTGATATGATGAACACTGAAACAAGATAATGAAAATCTCTCTAGACAGTGGTGTGTTCAAATGAAAAGCTAAAACAATGAACAGATAAATATTTCTCAGGAACAGAAGGATGTCTTTAATCTAAAAAGCTTGTAATTAAGTCTTTTTTGTTTTGTTTTTGGTGATGGGGACTTTGCACATGCTAAGCAGGCATTTGYACATGCTAAGCAGGCATTCTACCACTGATCTATACTCCCAGCCCTGTAATAGCGTCTCTAAGTTAAATTGAGCTTGGGTTCTGTAAATTCTTCATTGCCTTCATCTCACACTCTGCTAAAAAAATAAAAGTAAAATTAAAACCCACCTTTGATTTGGCTCTCATAACATCACAGACAAATAAGGACACTTTTATTCCAATTCCGTTCGTTTGGATCCCACCGTAACATTGTGTCCAGTTGGAACTCAGAACATCAGAGTTCTACAATTAGACCTGCAATACAATCTGCTTCTCTATGATTCAGTGGGAAGACTAACATTCATGCCTCAGATATTCACTGTCACCTCGTTGGGTGCAGAGTGCTAGGCTCTGTTCCAAGCTMTCTGGTGACAGTGAAAAGAAAATGCTATAGTGTGCAATCTGGGAGGAGACTGACTTGAATCAACCACACAAATTTTAAACTGCAACTCTTATGCTAGCAGAATGATGTCTAAGAGGGGCATTCAGGCAAAGAATAGAGGGAAGAGTRTTGAAAACAGAGGGGAAAACACGTCTGAGACTGGGGCAAGGGAGGGGAAAATAATGAGAATGAGACTAATAAGAGGTCCAGTAGGACTTCAGTGGTGAGAGCAAATAGCATAAGATATGAGGGTAAGCTGGCAAGGCCAGGACCGGGCCGCAAAGGCTGGCTAGGGAGGGACTTGTAGGCCATAGTAAGAAATCAAGTCTATATTCTAAACGCTATGTCAAGGGCTGGGGTGGTGGCTCTGCAATAAAGCGATTGCCTACCRCGTGTGAAGCCCTGGGTTGAACCTCAGCACCACATGTAAATAAATATAAATAAACTTTAAAAAGGTATTGTGTCCAACTATAACTAAAAAATAAATTTTTTTTTWAAAAAAAGCTGTCARGCCTTGTGGATGGAGGGATGTTAGGCAAAGATTGGGGATGGTAAGTGTGACAGATATACATCTAGAAAGATTATTTGGGCTTCAGTGAGGAGAATGGACCAAAGGAGCGAGAGTGAATAGAAAGGCACCCAGGAGAAGACTTACAATAAATAGTTAAAGTAAGAAATGATGGTAGGGATGACCAAATGATTAAAGTTGAGAAATATTTAGGAGGTAGAATGAATAGGACTCAAGAAGGGTCAAGGAAACCTTTCTAGAGATTAACCCTTATTAATGTGACAGGTCTCATGGGAAACTGTTTATGTAGCATCTCAGTTAATCCTTTCCAAAATATTATTCTCATTTATAGATAGGAAACTGAGGCTCAGAAAGATAAGAAAACTGGTTTAAGTTACTATAATTAGAGCTTAGTTTTGAACACAGGCTGTTTGATATTCAAAACCCATAAGGTACACTTGATAACGTTGGTATGAGAGGCAAAGCTAGGCACCACCCTCATTGGTAAATGTGTAACATCAGGTTTTTGTTTGATTGGTTTTAAGACATGACAATTAAGGCCACTGCTTTTGAAGAAAACAAGGTCCCACAATAGTTTTGAAAGGCGAGACATATCACATAGGGAAATACATCTAACAAAGGCAAAGCTTGCCAAGTCTGTAAGAGAGGTACAAAGCTATAGGAGTTCAAAGGAGAAGAGCCGGGAGAAAAGACTTCAGAGAAAGCGATGCTTGAAATGATTTTGAAGGTTGTAGCTTGAAGGAAAGAAGCAGAAAAACACAGCTGACTCCACCCCTTTCTTATTCCCCAGATTGGGGAAGCAGTCTGGTTATTCAGCATAAGGGAAGACAGAGGAAATACTACTAGAATAATAAATTTAGACCATATTACAGAGGTTCCTTCTATTTCTAAAATTCTGTGAAATTTTGATGATGGGAAGCAAAAGATCTTTATCCCAAAAACAGAATGTCTCTAAAATTTGTGGGAGGCAAAGAGAATAAGGCACCAAAAATATTTCCATGTGGTTTCTCTAACTGCAATATCAATTTCTCACCAATAAAAACTATATCTTATTATCCCCACTCTGCTATACCAGGGTTAAAATTGTTAACTAACATTTATTAATGCTTACTATAAACTGGGTCCTGTTCTAACAACTATACATGAACTGTTTCATTTGATATTCAYAACCCTGGGAGATCGGTACAATTATTTTCACTATTTTCCAGATAAAGAAACTAAGCTTAGAGAGGTTAAACAACTTGCCCAAGGTTATGTGACTGCTCAGAGGTTGAGCTGTGACTCAAACCCATGCAGTCAGCCTTCAAGCCAAGCACCTAGTGGCTGTTCAGTGTTACTGTCAATTGAGAGAATAAATATTTTGTCAACTAACATTTTACTATCATGCTGCCCTCAAAGCCCTTGCTTAACATCTGTGTGGTGTTTTGTCTCATCTGCCATATTGAGATAAACCATAAAATTCCATAACTATCTCATGGGAATACTATCTCCAGTTGCCCAATTCTCAGCCCCTGTCAACATTACTGTCAATGCTTCCACACTTCCTACATAAACCCAATATGCCCCATGCCAGGTTTCAGCTATCCTATTCTCTTTGAAGACTGGAGACTGTTTTTCATAGCCTTGGCTATATTGAACATGAAAGCTACTCCAGTAACTTCTCTCATGAGCACCCAGCACCTGAACTAAAATTTATACTGTTCTAAAGGCTTTCAGATTGATAAACCTTTACAGTCTAACACCAATGACAAATGCTATTAGTGACAAATGTGCTCTATATCTTTGATTTCTACTATTTATGGAGGCCAGGCAAACCTTTCTGCCTTGAACTATTTGTCACACATTTTCGTGATAATTTTTGTTAGAAGGAAAAACGACTCCAAGTGATGGATTAGGTGAGCTGTAATGGCCCAGATCAGTGTGAGTAAGGGCTGAAGAATGTAGTGGGTGTGAAATGGTATGTACGGAAGGGCTATCTTCTTCACTCCACCTCTGATTCCAGTTGGGGAAAAGTCTGGAAAGCAGGGCCCCAAACCTCATTTAAATGAAATTTACATAACTTTTAGGCAAGAGTTATATGTGAAAGCCTGCTTCTTTCTGTCCTGCCCAAGAGCCTGCCCACAGAAATGCAAATATCGATTCTGCCAATTTTCCCATTAACAGGAAATATACACATCGACATAAATCTGACATTAAATGTAAGTCCAATTACCTATGGTCTGACATATAGGGTACTTTCTGAGCTTGATTTGCATTACCAAGAATGCAAGCACCTCATGGCAGATGCCTGTCTTAGATACTTGCTATCCTACCAAAAGCCAAATGAACTCAGAATGTGGTTGTGTTTAAGTCTTATATTACCCCTTGACCTTTGAAATAATCAACTTCTATTTCTTACCAAAGGTTAGTCTTATTGTAATCTCACCAATGGATTGTATAGTCTTTTCCAGTAGCTGAATCAACTAGGAAGTCCAGTCTACTGAGGGTTTAAACCCTTCATAAGCTATGTGCTTTCACTACCCCACAGATCCTGCATTTACTTACCACTCTGGCCTTTCTTATAAATGCAGAAAAGTCACAGTTTACTCTACTGCTGGCCTATCTGTAATGTACATTCAGCTTATACAGAATAGCCACGGAAAACTATTTTTAGTCATTGTTTGGGATGATTTTATAACAATAGCTTTGCATTTTTTGAAAAACTATCATATAATTATCTCAGAACAAGCATGACATATAAAGTCACTAGAAAATTTGAGTATATTTTACACAAGATAGGATGGTAGAGCTAGTACTGCAGAAATGCTCCTCATGAGAATAGTAAGGAGTTGTTTTGTGGAGACTGCACACTTTGGGGAGAGGGGTACTCTCTGGACCTGACCACATAATTCCAATCAAATAACCCAAAGTAGCAGAAATATTATCTTCCATTTAAAATCTGAGGTTTTTCAAATTGTTTTCTTCTTGGTAACTTTGAGATCTTCTTATTTTTCAGTCRTCTTCCCAAATAAAAACTGACTATCTATCAATTATAATGGACCCAGATGAAGTTCCCCTGGATGAGCAGTGTGAGCGGCTCCCCTACGATGCCAGCAAGTGGGAGTTTGCCCGGGAGAGACTTAAATTGGGTAATATACTTGTTCAACAGCCTCATGAACCTATCTGAGCCCCTACTTCATGCAGAACATTGTGCTTTGAGGGATGCAAAAGTAAATAAGATGTGGGATTCTACCCTCCAGCTGTCCACAAACTAGCATGGGAGATGTACACAGAGGTCAAAAATTCTAATGGAATGCAGAGACAACAGTACAAGATGACAAGGGAGCACCTGTGTGTTCATTCAGTATTTCTTAAGCCCCAACTCTGAGCAGCAGACACTAGTCTAAGCCCTGAGAATACAAAGGTATTTGGGTTTGGGTCTCCTCCCTCAAAGGGCTGGTATGGAGATAGATGCAAAATAGGTAAGTGAAGGGAAAGGGGGAAAGAGGAGCTCTCATGGGAGTCTTATAATTGCCAGCACTCTTAAGTAGAAACTATTGGGAAGTTAGCCACGTGAGTCCCAGAACATAATTCAGGATGGCAAGTAACAGTGAAATTAAACATTTGGTGAAAGAGTTGGTAYTCTTCAAGGATGTGGCTCAAAACTTCTCTGCGCAAATTCCCAAATTATAACCTTGGAGTTTCCGGGAGTGTTGGGAACGTCCAGACAGAGAAGAAAGCCCTAGGGGATCATTTAAGTTTCATTTTTGAAGAGCACAAACTTGTTTTCCAGGTAGGGCAGATGCTGTAAACAGCACACAAATGTGCTTTCCCTCAGCTTACCCCTAGTTCCTCCAACTCAGACGTCACAATGCACATTAATCTCCAACCCATGGTGCTACAAAACAATTGGAACCTCAATCACTCCTACCMAAAATGTTTGGACTGTGCTTCTGAAAGTTTTCCACTTACTCCTGTGTATGCCAGAGTCATTAGTGGTTGAAACTAGGAAAACAGATTGTGGGTTCAGTGTTCCTGGAGTTTGTCACTCTCAGTGTGAAGAGCCCCTATTCCAAATCCAATGACTTGACCCCTCTCCCAAGCTATACTGGGGGCATGGATGGACAGAGAAGAGGGTAAAGTGGCTAGTCTTCCTTTTCTGTAGGGTCTTGAAATGTTCTGCTTGGTTCAAGAAAGGACAGCATCAGGTTAGGTTCTGTTTGGCTTGAGGAAAAAGTTTGAGAGACAGGAGAAAAGTCAGCAATGGCTACTGACAGGAAAAAAAAAAAAGCAATGAACTAAATTAAGTTAAGGGCAGGTGGCAYACTGGATGAGTGCCTTTTGCAAGACTAAATTACATGGCAGCTAGCCCAGCCCCTCAGTAACCTTGGCAGAAAACATCAGATCATTTTCCCACAAGCATGAGCCGCACTGTTTTCCAGAGTTACTAGTCACAAATATGCTTCTTCCAGGACAGGACACATGAGTTTTCCCTCCCGGCCCTTCATTCCTCCCTGGTATCACTGTGATCCATTGAGGGAGATTGTTAACCCTTCTCCTAGAATTCTCCTGGGGCTCAATAATCCCATTTCAGGCATTTTTTTCCTTATTGAAAATCTTTCTTATCATTCTTTTCCTTTCTGGATTTACCACATGCTATGATCTGGCTGGTTTCCATTTAACTGTCTTTAATGGGTAGGAGAAAGCATGTCAAGTCTAACTTTGTCTTTTAATGCATAGTGTGGCTGCAAGTTTACAGGAATGTTCCTCTGATTAACGTGGGAGCAAGGAGGCCCAAGACTTCTTTGTTTTGTAAGCCAAATAAGTGACAGAAAGTAATATGAAGTAACGTCTGGCAAGTGAAAGTAACCAAGATTATATCCAGATCGATGAAAAGAAAAGCTGCTTTGATGGGCAGAGTTACACTGGGACTAGAACTATAGAGAAAAACATAGACCAAGGAATGATTTCAGCTGTACCTACTCTGTTGGTCACTATGAACAGCTTGGTGAGGGAAGGCAAAATTTATGGTAACTGACAGATGGATTCAGTTGGAACCTGGGTCAAAGGTGCTGCTACCATTGAAACTCCTAAAACCCAAGAACAAAAAGAATCCAGCACCCCCCTCACTTTTTTTCATGATTTCTCATTAACCCTGGGAAAGAATTCAGCACCTCTAAATTTATCACAGAAATTAGGATAATGTCTGACATTGCATCTTTCTATTGGAAAATAATTTAAAGGCAGARTTACCTAATATGGGAAACCACACAGGGAGTCTCTGGGATTTGGCAAGTACATAGTGCCTGGACTGGTGTTGCATCTTTTGAGACCAACCCTCCCTGAATGCCAGAGAGGGGCCCAATTCTTGCTGTCCTGTACTCTCCCCAGAGTGGCCAGGAGTCCTGGATAGTCCAGGACATTCTTGGAGAAAATTCCAGTATTCTTGCATAGTATGACAATGACCTAACACATTTCTGAGCTAGTTTGTAGCATTCCAGGCACTACACTAAGGAGAATCTCAAGGGAAAGGGATGGAGAAAGGTCAAGTCCAGTGCAACTGTGCTCCCTGAAACTGGAACCATGGGTCTGCAAAAGAATTCCAACACATCATATGATTAAAGAGTCCATAATAGCTTCATGCTGTTTTATGAGGCAGCAATCAACTTCCAAGAGTATAAGTGAAAAGACTGAGAGAAGCCAAGTGAGAACCAATGTATTCTCACTGACAGAGGCAAAGCCCCCAAACACTTGTTAAAACAAAGTGTGTTATGATGGCTGAGAAGGGAATRCATGGGGGCGGAAGTTGTAGAAAGAGAAAGGATTCCATGTGTCCAGAACAGGCAAGGGTCTTAGGAGTGTGTGGAGAGACTATCACAACACTTTTCCTTCTAGATGATGGAAGGCACACTGTGGAAGGAAAACACTGTTTTTTAACCCTAAATAAAGCAGAAATAAACCTCCAACTGAAATATAATTTTACCAATCTGGGAAAGACGTAATTTCCAAGTGCAGCACTTTCAGGGTCCACTGGATGCTTTTGATTTCAAACACAGGGTACCTGTTCTATTTCTTGGACAATTTTACATGAAGAAAAAACCAGAGACTGTATCTTTGCCCATGTTGCATGCTCTGGGAGGAATGGTATTCAGTAGTCACCACAGATGAACACCTGACCACAGGAAAAACATGTCATCTCACTACTGTKCCCCTCCTAAAGCAGAGCATGTTGCTCTGAGACAGAGAGAGATAGCCACACAGAGGTACTTGTGATTATGCTGGTAACTGAAACTTTCCCATGTCCTAACTGGATGCCTGGGATGGGGGCAGTAGAAGAGATAAAGCAGAGGCAAGATGAAGACATTTTTGTCACAGAGAACTGTAACGATTCTAATACAATGAGGAAGCAGGAAAGCTTTATTACAAACCTTACAAGAAATTTAAAATTTACAAATGTATGTATGTGTATGGCTATGTGTATGTAAATGTGTGTGAATATGTGTGCATCAATCTCCTGGTCTCCATCCCACAGCCCCCTCTTGTTACCTATGACTGTATGAGGCCTGCCTTACATAGCCCATGAATTTCTGAATTCTCTCCATTCTGCATCATCTATACAAGGGATATGCTCTACACCTGGCACTGGGTGAAGTACAGGAAAGGTTCAGACAGCATCCTTGCCCATCTGAGTCAACTTGGCTCACTGATGGGTGGGGAAAGAAGCATACTAACAGTCATTATAGCATAAATAATGGGCACACAAAAGAAATCTTGCTTGGTTATTGAATCTGGTAACCATCTTTCTGGGAGTGAAACAAATTTCTATCATGTGTCGAAGCATGAGGACTTGTAATGATCATATAATAATTGCCAGGGATTATTCTGTCTGGCAAGGATGTCTAAAAAATGACTTAGTATTTATTTTTTAAGTTATGAAGCATCATTATAACCCATGGCTACAACTACCATTCTTGATTTCTCCATTTTTTGCTGAGAACAGAAGAATGACCTTAAGTGACAAGAAACAGGGGTTAGGTTAAACATACAGAAGTTTTTTTTGGTGATATTACTTAACAATGGAAGAGACCACTCAGGATTTGGTAGTGTCTCCTCTCTTGGAGGACTCTATGAAAAGGAAAATATTTACCTTCACTAAATACCTACCCTAGCTCTGAAGGATGCAGGAGCCTCAGAAGCAGAGGAAAAGAGCTAAGAGGAAGAAACCCCAGAAACATGTTCCTGATTATGTCACCTTTAGGGTTAGTTCACTGGTGATTCATCCAAAGCTATAACCTCACAGAACACAAAGGAAAAAGCACTTCCTTCCTGAAAAACACTTAAACTCACCTTGCTGGCTTGGCAATAAACCAATGTCTTCTTTTCACTGTAGGCAAATCGCTTGGAAGAGGGGCTTTTGGGAAAGTGGTTCAAGCATCTGCATTTGGCATTAAGAAATCACCCACCTGCCGGACTGTGGCTGTGAAGATGCTGAAAGGTGTGTGTGCTGTCGTTTGGCTTTTGTCTGACTCATAATCTTTACACATTCCCCAACTTTTGGTGCAAGTTGAATATTGGAATAAACACAGCTATTTCTACTCTGGCAATATCACTTTCTTCTACAGCTCCYTTTGTTCAAGGAGTTTTATTTTTTAATTTGTATTTGTTCTTTTTAGATATACATGACAAGAGAGTGTATTTTGACATATTATACATACATGTAGTATAACTTATTCTAATTAGGATTCCATTCTTGTGGTTGTACACAATACAGAGTTTCACTGGTTGTGTATTCATGTATGAACATAGGAAAGCTATGTCTGATTCATTCTACTGTCTTTCCTATTCTCATCTTCCCTCCCTTCCCTTCATTCCCCTTTGTCTAATCTAGTAAACTTCTTCCTCCCCCACCCCAAGGTGTTTTAGATTAAGCTCACACTAGCTCAGAATAAACCTTGTCAGTGCTAACAATCCAGAACTGTCCATGGGAAAATGATCTCTGTCACCTTAAGATCTCTCTCTTCTCACATTTCAGACTAGACTAATAAGGACATACGCCCATTGTAACCATAGGTTCAAAGTGTTGACATGATCCACTATGACTGTAATGGAAACTTAGCTGCACATCACAAATCCCAAAGGCTTAGMTTGAACTTGCCCTAACTATAAAGTGAAACTAGAATGCTAGAACAACTTAACTGATCAGAACTGTAAACTAATTTATACTGCCAAGTCCTAGCAAAAAAAAAAAAAACAAACAAAACATTTTTTCTTTAGAAATTAAATTTAAAAAGTCAAAGTATATCTAATGTTGAAAAATACATGATTCAAAAAAAAGACAGGATTGAAAACTCAAAGGGCAGTCTTTAGCTTTCCAAAGTCTCCAAGATTTTGCCAGGATATTCTGAGGCACTGGAARCAGTGGGACTAAGTAGGTACTTAGCATGAGCTTGAGGAGAGAGGGTTCAGTGCTTAGGGAGACTTCCAAGGCCTTACTCCTAATCCACCACTGCCACMATTACTTCAGAAGCCACAGGTAAACATTTTTTCCACCTCAGAAGGCTGTCCTCATCAGAGGAAAATTGAWGAAACTCTATGAAACAGGGAGAGAGCAAGTTTGGACAATAAGTACCAAAACTGATAGAAATAGTAAGTTCCAGTATTCTACAACACAGAAAGGCAATTATAGTTCACAACAACTTATTATATATTTTATAAAGAAATAAAAGAGATGGGCTGGGTTGTGGCTCAGTGGTAGAAAGCTTGCCTTGCAAGTGTGAGGCCCTGGGTTCAAACCTCAGCACCACATAAAATAAATGAATAAAATAAAGCTTTTGTGTACATGTACAACTAAATATATTTTTTAAAAAAAGAAATAGAAGAGAGGAGTTCAGAGGTCCCCAACACAAAAGAAATCATAAATGTTTAGGGAGATAGAATGCTATTTACCCTGATTTGATTACTACACATTGTAAACATATATCAAATTATCACATTATACTATTATGTGTGCTCCTCAAAAAATTGCTACAAAGAACCAGACAGCTCTAATTTGAAAGTAGATTGTGAAGGAGTTTCGTATCCACAATCAGGACTTTTGTTCGGGGTGGACTACCCAGATGATTACAGGCTTTTCTGTGAGAATATCAATGCCAGCATGCTCCCCCAACCCTAGATGCTGAGGAGAAGTAGCATCAATGTGTCTATGTGAGAAGTAATAGACTAAACACTCTGTTAGGTTGAAWCACACAAAATTTCTATTTTTCTTATTTTCTCTCACCAATCTTCTGAGGTAGATATTATTATTCCAAGTTGGTAGATGAGGCAACATGGTCCAGAAAGATTGGACAGCCTCTGCAAGGCAGCATAGCCCTTAGGGCAGAAACAATAAGGTCTGCACCAGCATTGACTGAATTGCTCTTTCCCTCACAACACAGTGYCACAAGAGCAGGAAACAGAGACCTAGCCTCCTGGAAATTGGCCCATTGCTCCCAAATCCTTCAAATGATCCCTGTTCCATTTCCCTGCTTACTTTCTCTTATCACATCTAGGAGGCATGTCTAATGTCCACACTATTCTATCACACATCCAAGATCACACCTGTGGCCCTGCCTAGAAATGGAACCATCTGAGCAGTGGTTCTCAAAGTATGGTCCTGGATAGCTATGTCAGCATTTCTGAGAAATATATCAGAAATGTGAATTCTCAGGATTTATGAGTTGGAAGGGAAAAGATTCTGACTTGAGATCTCTTTTAAAGACTCAGAGAATCTATGTCATACAGAAATCATGTATGTATGGGGCTGGGGTTGTGGCTCAGTGGTAGAGCACTTGCCTAGCATATGTGAGACACTGGGTTCAATTCTCAGCACTGCATATAAAATAAATAAAATAAAGATCCATCAACAACTAAAAAAAGAAATCATGTATGTAATCTTTAAYATATCTTCCCTCCCACTTTTTTTTATTGAAAAACATTTCCAAATCACCCACCCTGTAAAATTCCTAAAAWTTTTTTTTCATTCAGCTTTCTTGCCTAATTGGTTGGCCATCTGCTTGGGGGGAAAATAGAAAAAGCAGAATGCCAAACAAAGGCCATTAGTAAAAAGCTCTTTCAAAGTGTCCCTGAATAAAACCTTAACRTATTAGGACCTTACATCCATGTCTGAAATGAGAAATCATGTTGTGTATTTATCCAAAAATATTTGTTAAGCATCTACTGTGAGCCAACCCCTACCCCAGTGGGAGGCTTCTGGAGTTTATCTAGTTATTATTAAAAAATGATTTGTGCTTATGAAATACCACATCAGTATCTTCCATAATGTTCAGTATACACACCACCTTCAGTACTGTGACAGAAATACTTACACATGGATACAGAGTTTCTATTATAGCATTATTTGTAAAAGCAAGAACCTGTAGATGGATGACACACAGGCTTTCAATTACAGCAATATTTGTAACACCAAAAACAGGTAGACAGTTTAAATGCAGGAACATTGTTAACTGATTAAAAGGAATATTTTTTTTAAAAAAAAAGCGACTGGCCCAGCCTTGACAAACACAGAATAGAAATAATCTCTGACATATTAAAAAGAAGAGGAAAAAATTAAATATATATGACCCAATTTATGTAAACCCTCAAAAAAATGAGATTTCATTTGGATATATATAAACACATAGGAAAAGATCTGAACTYAAATTATCAGCAGTAGCTACTTTTAGGAAGGTAAGTAGGCTGGAGTGACTTGCACTTTTTACTTTAGATCCTTTTACTCCTTATATTTTTGTTTTGTTTTTTCTTTGGGGGTTTTGTTGTTGTTGCTGGGGTTTGTTTTGTTTTGGTGCTGGGGATCAAACCCAAGGCCCCATGCTCTACCATTGAGCTTCCTCATATCTTTTTACTMAGATTCATATTATTGGACTATTTCATTGCCACAATACTTTACTTTTATATTTCTAAAAATAATTTTAGAATATTGAATGCCATAGAAATTAACCAATGAGAATAAACAGAAGAAATGCAATTTAGGCTTTAGACTGCTAATTTCTCGGACTGATRTTGCTTATCTCTGAGTGAGAATGAAGCTAGTCTAATGCTATGTATCCCCACAACGTAAGATAACTCTTGTGAACTCCAAGTATGAAAGAATATAGGAAGAAAATAACACACTGCAAAGACGTTTGCAGAAGCAGCCATCCTGCCCTTGTCAGGCCCCTGGTGCTCCTCTGTGATTCCCCTGAGGACACAGKGAGACAAAAAGGGGAGGTGTGGATACATCCCCTGCCTGGAGGGTTCTCACTGCACCTGTTTCTGCTAGAAGAGATGCCTTTGGAAGGTACTTTCATGAAGTACCCAGCTTTTGTGTCAGCACACTGCTAAACACACTAGGTCCACCAAGAGGAAATGTCCAGTGACTAACCCCACCACAGCTCTAGGCCTCACTGTAATCAAAAGGATGTTGGCTCGGGAGGGTGGGAGTAATAAAAACAGTTTGGAGACTTAGCCTTTCTGCAGAATGTAGTAGGGAAGTTAATGAAGCGACTGGCCCAGCCTTAACAAACACAGAAGGCAGGAATGCCGCCACCAGCGGAAGGAGCCCCATTGTCTTCTTGTCCTGACTCTTCCTTGCTTCTCACACAGAGGGGGCCACAGCCAGTGAATACAAAGCTCTGATGACTGAGCTCAAGATCTTGACCCACATTGGCCACCATCTGAACGTGGTTAACCTGCTGGGAGCCTGCACCAAGCAAGGAGGTAAAGGAGAAGTGGGGTGGGTGCTGATCCATCATCTCCCATACACAAGAACTCTCACACACAGCTTTACCTCCAGGAAAATGGCTTCTCAATAGATCCAGAAAAAATAGTCTATCCATTTATGGAAAGGTACTCCCATGCTAGAAATGCTTTCCCAGTACAGTTAATTCAAAATTTGGAAGAGGACCTCCTTTTAGATCTCCTTCAAGAGGGTCTAGGTCAAGTGGAAGGCATTTTTATTTCAGGATGACTAAGGTAAAGGTGTAAAAGAATGAATCACTACTGGTGGGATACCAGGAGGAAACAATGTGGGAGACAAACAAAAGGGCCCTTCCCTTCAGACCCACCATGCAGATAAACTTTATATCCTGAACCAAGGGACAGGAATAGGGTTGTGCCTTTTGACTGAGGGCTCCAGAAAGTTCCTGGAGACCTTTCTTTCCTCCTCGATGGCAAGGTCAATGGTTGGGGGTAGATGTGGACTCACTGCCAGAAAGAAAGGTGCAAAAAAAAAAAAAAAAAATTGTGCATACAAATGTTTCCAATGTTCCCAGTGCAGGAACTGGGGGGAAGGTGCATTGGGGAAGACGGTCTGTTAGGAGTGGTAATGGATAGAAAGAGGAGTTGAGGGATGGAGAGGCCAGAAATACAGTCCTAGTCCCACCTGCTTCTTCATTATCCTTGATAAGCTTTTCTCCAGTTCCTGCTGCGGCAACCTCATTGTAGTTGCCTTGGCTCTGCACCTATAAAATGCATCAGGGCTAAGGAGACCACTCACCTCCTCGGAGGCTTCTGAGCCCTAGGCAGTTAGCCGTCAGTAATGAAAGCACCTACTGGGGCATGAGAAWTGCTGGACCCCTGAGACGAGATTTGCCGAGTCTTTTTTCTGGGTGGGGAGATGCACAGCTCTACAGGGACTTCCGCTCTGGTACCCTGAGGGAAGAGGAGGTGCTGTGAAGATTCCTAACAGACATTTTAAAACCAGAAAAGTCCTGATAGTAACAGAAAACTACTCTACCCGTATGAGCTATGTCCTCGKACGCCTCGAAGTGGTAGAGAGTCTGGGCCTCCGCGGGGCCTACTGGCTACCCGTGTGCAGCCAGCCCGCTGAAGCAGTTCTCCGTCACTTCCTGTTAGGCCCGGAAGTAATCCTTGTGCTGCCGGGGGAGCCTGGAGCAGGCAGGAGCGGGCCTTCAAGCCGCACGTGGGACTCACGGGGCAGCTGGCTCCCTTCCCGACAGCTTGCTTCATTAGGCCAGTGGGCAAGCTATGGCCAGCCAGACAGAATGTTTTGAGTTTTTTAAATAGTTGGGGCAAAAAAAAAAAAAAGGTTGAAAGGGATGGTATTATGTGATGTGGAAATATATGAAATTCAAACTTATATATTCATAAAGTTTTATTGGAGAACACTCKTACTCCTTGAGTGTATTAACAAAAGCTGATTCCAGGTTACAAGGGTACAATTGAGGAGTTGGTTGGCCTGCAAAGTCTAAAATATTAACTATCTGGTACTTATCATCCTCTGCTTTACTGCCTCACAAGTCCCAAGGCAAACTCAGTGTAGATACCCCCAGACACCAATACTGGGAAGAGACAGAACAGGTAGCCTATTTTCTGCCCTGGGAGGGAAAAAGAAACTGCTGAATGGTTCTGGGGCTGATGTGACAGTAACCAGAGCCCCTCTTGCCAAGGTCTGGCTAGTGGGTAGAGGGTGCCTGGCATTTGCCTCTCTGTTCCTTTCTTTCTTCTGCTTTCCCTTCCTGCTCCTCCTCACACCTACCCTCATTTTTTATTGTATTTTTGAAACCCTTCTCAGGTTAAATTGCAGAAGTCATAGTGCTCATTCACAGCCCCTCATCCCCAAGTTGCATTCCTAGATCCACTAATAAAAGACCGGTTGGTTTGTGGTTTCTCAGTCCAACTGAAGGCTGACCAATGGCTGATTGATTTGGTGTGACTGAGCATGTGCTATTTTGACTGCAGGGCCTCTGATGGTTATTGTTGAATACTGCAAATATGGAAATTTATCCAACTACCTCAAGAGCAAACGTGACTTATTCTTTCTCAACAAGGTAAGGATTTTAAAAGTAGCATTCTTTTTAAGGACAGCAATGGGTTACCATTTAGGCTGTGGCAGCATAAAGCAGGAGAAACCTAGTTTGTTTCATTAATGAAATTAATTAAAACTCAAAAAAGTTAATTAAAACTAAAAAAATTAATTAAAAATCAATTTCTGCTCTTCTTTTTCAACATATTCCTTTCATGCTAATCTGTCATACTCTCTTATAGACAGACTATCATTTAATACCAGTGTATGCAGCAATAATTGGAAGTTACGTGTACTAGCCATCTACCTAAATTCCTATTGAATATCTCAATAATTTTCTCTAAAACACACACACATGAAACACACTTACATACAAACATACACGTGCACAAATTACTTAGGTTTTTTTGAAAATGATTAAATATAGTTGCCTTCGTTTATTAGAAATTAAAATACAATCACCTAAGAGACTTGTCTAGTCACCAGCAATGGGACCAGAGATTGAAATCATTCTGTTTACTTTCTACTGCTCTTTCTCCTACCTCTGACACTATTACCACTCATGGCATCCCTAACTGACTCTGAATCAGACCTATCCATGAAATAAATACATAGGCCCAGTGACATGCACCTGAAATTTCAGCAACTCTAGAGGCTGAGGCAAGAGTATCACAAGTTCCAGGCCAGCCTGGGCAACTCAGTAAAACCCTGCATCAAAATGAAAAGTAAAAAGGCTGGGGATGTGTCCCAGTGATAGACCACTTGCACAGAATATGCAGGCCCTACATTTAATCCCTAGCACTTAAAAAAAAAAAAAAAAAAAAAAAAAAAAACCTGAGTTCTGAGAGCAAAGAAATTACTGACTGACGAAAAAACAACTTACTAAAATTTGCAGTGTGTTAAATGGCACTAGTGCTGTGTACTTCTTTAGACTAGATAAGCCAGGGGACAATAATTCAAAATTATTTACTAGTAATCATCAACAATAATGATAAAAACTTGTAGTGTTGAAGTTAAGCACTTGGATTCCAGAATCAGACTTTCTGGATTTAAATCCTGTGCCTTCCTCTCATGAAATCTGGAAACTTGAGCAGATTACTCAATTTAACTAAGGAACTAATAGTTGAACCCAACTGATGGGATTGTTGGGAGAATGAAAATCTCTCCGTTAAGAACTCAGATAAATTTTAATAATCATCATTGCCCCAGTGATCGAAAGATTGAGCACTAGGGGTGTGGCTCAGAGGTGGTATGTTTATCTAGTATTTGTGAGGCTCTGAGTTAAATCCCCAATACTTCGGGGGTGGGGTGCAGAGAAAGATTGGTTGTGTCCAACTTAATGCCACCAATCTATATGTGGATAAAATATCAGACATCTAAGGATGATGCCCTTTTCTGTCATGTGTGCAAGTCTTCACACACATATAAGAACCACTGGACACAGMCAGGAGCAGTGGTGTATCCCTAAAGTCCCAGCTGCTTGGGATCTGAAGTAGGAGAAGCACTTAATCTTAGATGAATACAAACCTGGGAAACATAGTGAAACCCTGTCTCAAAGAAAAAAAAAAAACCTAACCAACCAACCACTGGACAGCTGACCCATATACTCATCCCCCAAGCTTTGATCAAACCAAAGACACAGGTGTTCTACCAGACTGGCAATATGTATGCAAAAATATATTTTCCTTGGTTTTAAGCCAGACTCTAATTGGAATCTTGAAGCTGAAAGGGATCCTTGTGATCAGCTAGTTCACACTCTCTCTTTTATATATATATATATATATATATATATATATATATATATATATATATATATATTTATTTATTTATTTATTTATTTTTATGTGGTGCTGAAGATCAAACCCAGGGCCTTGCACATGCGAGGCAAGCACTCTACCGCTGAGCCATAACCCCARCCCCTAGTTCACAAATATAGAGGTACTCAAAGAACTCACATGACACATAATTACCACAAAATGAAGTCAGGGAGAGAAAGACTGAGCTCTCTTGATTCCTCTTCTAGGGTTTTTCCTATGCACCACACTGGATAAGGTGGAAAAAGAAAATTGGACAGTGGTGCCCTGTACTGAGAACAGTGCAAATTCCTTTCAGTCTGAAAGCCCTGGACTGGGTTCAGGAAGAGCTAAGGCAGCAGAACACCCCAGGGACCTGGGCAGGATGGAACGTTTGGGTTCATGCGTCCTTTGTTTTGAAGAGTTTGCTTCCTTCTCTGGCTATATTTAATGATTTGCCTCCCTGTGCAACTTGGAGGAGCTATGTTTTTGTGGAAGACCCACTACTATCTTTCACATTTAGAACCTAAAGAAATATAAAGAGAAAGTGAAGAAAAAACAAAACCAATGACTAAATTGAAAATAGAATATATTATTTTCTAAATTCACTAAGATCCTTAAATATTATTTGGGATAAATTTGCTATTCTGCCAGAGTTCAAAAGTTAAGTAAATTAACCTTTCTTTAACAGAGATGGTTACTGATAGACAACGGTGAATATACCATAGATTGGGGGTCAGAAAGGGAGCAGTGAGCTTGGTGGCATGTCCTAGGAAGTGACTTCTGGTGGTTGTGATAAAGAAGGCTGCCCAGAGAGTTTCCATAGAAGCTGATTCCTGAGTGATCTCTGGTAGTATTTTTCTACCCACAACATTGCCAACATGTTTCCTGCTGCCTTCTGTTGTGGGAAGGGTCTGTAGAAAACACAATTCCAGTTCCTAGCTGAGCAGAGCCAGATCTCACTGCCTCATGAAGACACAAAAACAAATAATTATATTTTTACCTGCCTTCGGGAAAATGTGGTGCCCTGGGCTGAAAGCAGAGCAAATTCCCTTCAGTCCTGAAATCTTGGACTGGATTCAAAAAGAGCTAAGCCAGGAAAACCCCCTTGCAGGGTGGAGGGGTCCGGTGGTGGTGGGTAGGTAGATATTCTTTCTAAGGTCTGCCTCCCTCCTGCAACACAGGAAGGGCTCCTGTTCAGGGGCCAGGAACCTCGGTACCCTCTACACTTAACAAGGTTTGTTAGAGYTGTCCCACCCAAACCTCCCTCTCTCTGTCCTCTGCTTGCTCCCATTGTGCCCTCTGGTGGAAGGATCACTCCTTTTTTGTGACATTTCTAGAAAAACCAAGGGAGTGTGGCTAATCCTAGCATTACTTGTGTGTAGGTGGATGGAGGAACACCAGTGAACTTCAGCCCCTCCCAACCCCTATTTCAGTATTTCCATCTAGCATAAACCAGGCTATGTACATGATGTAGTCCTAAAGCCACTGGACCTGCAAGTTTCTAGTGTCAGAGTTTCTAGATGAATGTCTTGTTTCACATGAACACTCAGGACCTACATCTCCTTTACTGAGCCATAGTAGGATGATAGAATTTTTCAAATGAGGAAGATGAAACCTAGAAAAGTAAGCTGACTTGCCCAAGATCACATGATTAATGGAAAAGCTAGCATCCAAACCAGGACTTGGATGCCCCATCCAGGATGAAGGGCCATGTCTAACTCATAATAGGATAGACCTGTATCTTTGTTTTAAATGGAAGCCAAAATTAAGGTTCATGTTCTTTCCTTTCCCAAGGGAATCAGAGAAATTGGAAACTACAGCCTTTTCTTTATAACTCCTCTCGGGGATTACAAAGTGAAGCCTCCAGTACATTGAAGATCCTTTTCATATCATCTGAATGATGATAGAAGTATCAAAGTTTCATCTCTTTCACAAGATGGCATGTGCTATATAGAAAAGTTGCTAAGGGCACAGACTCAGGAGCAGGCCAAACCTGGGTTCAGATTTTGCCATTTGCCTATTGTATGTTCCTTTGATTACTAAACTTCTCTGAACCTGTTTCTCCACTTTAGTAAAAACTACTTCATAAAGTTATTTGGAATATTAAATAAGAAAACATATACCCGTGAGCTGGGGCTGGGGCTTAGCAGTAGAACACTCGCCTAGCACATGCAAGGCCCTGGGTTCAATCCTCAGCACCACATAAAAATAAATAAATAAAATAAAGGTATTGTGTCCAACTATAACTGAAAAATAAATATTAAAAAGAGAAAAAAAAAGATATACTGGCTAATACAATAAGCATTCAGTGCATACCAGCTGCTATTAATTGTCTTTTTTGGGGGGTGGGTAGGTACTGGGGATTGAACTCAGGGGCACTTGACCACTGAGCCACATTCCCAGCCCTATTTTGTATCTAAATAAGACAGGATCTCACTGAGTTGTTAGCACCTTACTTTTGCTGAGGCTGGCTTTGCACTCTCAATCTTCCTAGCCTCAGCCTCCTGAGCTGCTGGGATTACAGGCATACACCACCGTGTCCCCCCTCCTATTAATCTTCTTTTATCTGGCCTAAGATGCTATCTAGAAGCTCAGACAAGAGTGAGCAGATCCCACAACTCCAGCAGTAGCCAAGGCACCTGCCACCATCAATCTGTCACTGCTAATTCAGTATCTATCTTGTGGAATGACATTTTCCAACTCAGGTGATTGCCTGCTAGAAGGACTAGTGTCCCCATTGCTGTGCTGGGGCTCCTTTCACTGGTGTTGTTCTTCATCTGTTCTAAGGATGCAGCATTGCACATGGAGCCTAAGAAAGAAAAAATGGAACCAGGCATGGAGCAGGACAAGAAACCCAGACTAGATAGTGTCACCAGCAGTGAGAGCTTTGCGAGCTCTGGATTTCAGGAAGATAAAAGTCTGAGTGATGTTGAGGAAGAGGAGGGTAGGTATTCATTCCTTCCTGTCCTACAGTCTGAGATATTTTTACAACATACTGTGCATCTCTGACATTTTTTTCTTATTTATCACCCTAATAAACATCCGTGGGAGACTTGAAGGGTAATGTCCTGAGGAGATAAGATTTGAATTAAGATTATTTACAGAGTTACTAATTTTGACAGAGAACTGTGTGATTGTCTCCCTTCAGGCCTTTTCGTTTGGCCGGGTCATACCCCTTCCCCATGCTTGGATCCATGGGCTGGAGGCCTGGAAAAATCTCTGATGTTCATGTTGAAATTCAAATGAACTCTGATCCACTTGTTAGTTTGTTTTATGTTTTGCTAATGTTGTTCTAATAAACTGGGATTTAGTGGAATAATAAGAGCCATTACAAACAATTACAGTTCTAATGCTTTGCAGATTCTGATGATTTCTACAAGCAGCCCATCACTATGGAGGATCTGATTTCTTACAGTTTTCAAGTGGCCAGAGGCATGGAGTTTTTGTCTTCCAGGAAGGTCAGCTTATCTCCTTACTATTTTTCTTCTTCTTCTTAAAAAAAAAAAAAAAAAAAAAAAAACAGCAGGAATAAAGTGAAGTTTTATTTTTAAAATAAATAATTGCTTAAATTTATTTTTAACTGATACATTAAAACCTAAAACTTGTATGTATTACCATATGATGTTTTGATACATGTTTACATTACATAATGTTTTAATCAAGTTAAATATATTCATCTCCTCAGTTATCTTGTCTTTATGGTGAAAACTTTCAAAATCTTTTCTTCTTTGCCAGGCATGGACACATGGCTCTGCTATAAATCCCATTTTCCTAGTATTTGCTTATACCTATGTCCTTTAGTGTAGAACAAACTCAAGCCAGGTGCCTGAATTTGTCCTGCTATGAGGAGTTTTGAGAATGATAAACCTGGGGTTCCAAAGAGTAGAATTTAATACCAAGAGATTCAGATTGGACAAATCCAGCAACCATTCTCCACAGTACCCTCTGGCATGTTTTCAAAATTGGTCAGAATCCCCCAGAGTACAGGACTTCCCTGGAGAGCATCTATCATTCCATCTACAAAGGGTCCTCCCACAAATCCACAGCTAGATAAAATCTGACCCCCACCAGCCAGAATAAAAGGTTATGGGGATGTTTTGCTTGGTGGCGAAGCTCACATTGCCACCTTGGTTCACCAAGATGCTGTTTGCAGACAGTAGCCCACCAGAGTCAGAACATTTCTTGACTTTCAGGTCTCAAAGGACTTATATTTGTAAAGAAATGCTTCATGTTTATGGTCACTCAATGTGCGCTGAGAGTGGCTTCCTTCACAGCATGTGAAATGGATCTTCAAATTAAGAATAATGACACTGAGGAAGCACAGGAAATTAGTTAGTTAGACTCAGGAAATGCATTGATTATGCAGTTGTTTTATTATAGTGCATTCATCGAGACCTGGCTGCGCGAAACATTCTTTTATCTGAGAACAACGTGGTGAAGATTTGTGATTTTGGCCTTGCCCGGGATATTTATAAGAATCCTGATTATGTGAGAAAAGGAGATGTAAGTCAGCTTGATGTTTATTTGTCTCATTTATACCCTGTCATTTTAAAACCACAGACCAAGGCCCTTGATAAATATTTATACTCCCTCACCAGTAGTCTCTGAAAACTGTCCTGTGCTTACTGTGCAATCCAGAAGAGCCATAGAGCGCTTGTATGGGACTCTGAATAGCCACTGTCTCCTGGTTCTATTGGCCCTAATCCCTGGCTTGGTACGGGTCCTTTCTGAAGCACTGCCTGAGGCTTGCTAACCAGAGAAGTGTTTAGTTGGGCCCTGGTAAGGCCATATCATTCCTTGCCTTGGGCTCCTATGGGAGTTCCTTGTACCATTGAAAAGAACAGCCTGGACTCTTTCCCTCAAATAAACCCAGATGATTGATTCAGCAGGTGTGTGTACCTCCGGAGAGGGTGGGGTTTATCTCCCTGGGAGGAAATTGATTACCTCCCTTGTATGCCTTCCATGCCTAGCATCTCCCTGCTGGCGTACATTGGCCCCCTTCTCCATTTGTTTTTGAACATAATGTTATTTGTCACTTAGTGGGTGACCTCCTGTGTCCTCTGTGGGTAACCTCTCTTCTCTGACCTCTACCATGAGGCTTTCAGCTTATGTCTGAGCTCTGATGACTATTCTACAGCTACAGATCACCTAGAAGTCTTACTCAGCCATTTTGCTGGCCCCACCCCCAGCCTCCCTGATTCAGTAAATTTTGGGTAGGGCCTGAGAATTGGCATTTGTAACAAGTTTCTAGGCTGTGCTGACTTAGCTGTCCAGGACCATACTTTGACAACTACTACTCTGCTGTCACTTTTTAAAGGAGGGGAAAAAAGCAAAACTTTCCTTGGAGACCTGGTCTTCACAGATGATATCTACCTGTGTTATAGTCTTTCCCTCTTTTCTGTCCCTTCTGTGTCTCTTTCAACCCCTCCTTGCTCCTCCCCCTTCCTTTTTTATTTGTCTTTCCATTATCCCATACTTTTGCCAGTCCCCATCCATCCAACTCCCGGGCTAACTCACTGGGATTCCTGCTATCTGGAAGGGAAGGAAAATTTGTCTGCAGGCCTGAAAACCAGCCATATAGTCTTCTAAGTACTAAATACTTTAATATTAAATTACCTTTCTTCTTCAAATACCTTTGCCTCTTCTCTGTATTGAATGACTTATTTGGAGGGAGTGGGGGAGCTAAGAATTGAACCCAGGACCTCACACATGATGAGCATATCCTCTACCACTGAGCTGAGTCCCCAGACCCCATACCATGACTTTTAAAATCCTGTGTTTTTGCATAGAAATGCCTTTCAGACTTTTCCTTCTTAGGAAAAATTCCAGAAAATCATCACAAATTTTCAGGATGTCCTCTAATTCATATCACTCTTTCCCAAGCCTTCAGTGTCCCTGTGGAATGTAGCCTTCCTCCCCTCCTTTCCCCCTCCGCTTGGAGGGGGGMGGGAGGATTTCTTTCAGAACCATGGAGTTAGATCTGAGGGGCTTAGTAAACATTCATCGCCTTTGGAGGGTTCGGAGTAGTATGCAGTGCAGTCTTCTAGCATAACACTGCACACCCTATGAGTTTTCTCTTAGAGCATAGCTGCTCTAAGAAATGATGTCTGGGCCAAGCATTAATGTGAGAGGTGATCCATAGGCACCTGAGTTGGATGCTTTGTTTTCATGACCTTCTTCTCAAGCCTGCCTTGCCTTCTTCCAGACTCGACTTCCTCTGAAATGGATGGCTCCCGAATCCATCTTTGACAAAATCTACAGCACCAAGAGTGACGTGTGGTCTTATGGAGTGTTGCTGTGGGAAATCTTCTCCCTGGGTAAATTTGGAGGAGGGAAGAGATCAAACAGCCTAGAAATAAATTCATTCATCTTCTGTCAAGCATCCTTTGACTAGACACAACCTTGAGATCAGCACTCAAATTGCAAACTGTAGTAGGGGCATGGATCCTGGTCGCCTCTCAGTACAGTCATGATGTGTGTGTGTGTGTGTGTGTGTGTGTGTGTGTGTGTGTGTAAAAATGTCTTTACAAACATGAACAAGGTCAGACAGTAGAAAATCTGGAATCAAGTCTATCTTTCTCTGCCCTTTGCCCCCTTCTCCATTGCCTCAGACACCCCCATGTCTAATGCCCTTACCCTTTTCCTCCCCGTAACACCTGCTCCCTCAGAATTTCTTCTCAGGAAAAAACCTGATAAGCACAACTGAAACGTGGGGAAGGTGTCTTTAGATAAAGGAGGCATCAGTTGGTCCACTGCATGCCATGGGGGCTGCAAACCTAGTTGCAGCTGCAGCAGGGATTGCCTGCAGCTTGGGGCCAGTGGTGATGCCGCCTCCTATTCCACATCCACCCAGCACTCCCGGGTCTGGGTGCTGGTTTATAAGAGCCAGAGAGATCCAGCCAAGGTAGTTGTACAAAAGACAAGTAATAGACAGTGCCACATCCCAGAAGGGGACAGGAGTTTCTAAAGGGGGTGAAGATGGGATTTGAGACCTGGTGAAGTGGTGCATGCCCATAATCCCAGCAACTCAGAAGGCCGAGGCAGGAGGATGGCCTTAGCAACTTTGCAAGACCCTATTTAAGATTAAAATTAAAGATTAAAAATAAAACAGACTAGGAATGTAGCTAAGAGCTTAAGCACCCCTGGATTCAATCCCCAGTTAAAAAAAAAAAAAAAAAGACAGGTTTTGAATTGGAATGAAGGGACAGGGTCCAAGGAAGCAGACAGAAAGAAAAAGTAGCTGTCTTTTCAGTGCCTCTGATATTAGCACATGACACAGCCCTACATTGCTTTATGCAAGTAAACTATAAAGAGGACTGGTTATATAGATTCTGCCTGCAATTCACCCACTGAGGGTTTCTAGAAACCTTGCTGGAGTTCTCTTATTCAAAAGTGTGCATGGAACCCACATCTGCTCCCAAATACATAGTAGTGATGTGAGGCCTCCCAAACACAAGTTCTAGCCAAGAGTCTTATGGACTTTGCCAAAAATTTGCCTTTCCTAGCAAATAAAAGTCATCCAGTAACATCCTTGGTTTCCTGTAATGTGTAAAAATCATTCCCCTGCTTTCGATGACAGGCACCTGTAGYTTCCAGTCTTTGAAAGCCACTAGGCCTTTGCAGTGACACAGTGCCAGCACTGCATGTCTCCCAGCTGCTTCCTACCAGCAGTAATCACAAGAAAGTGCAAACACGTTCTGAGATAGACTAGGTTTGTGGGCTGGAACAGAACCGACTGGGAGGCCTTACCCACTTGTACACTCAGTCAGGGATCCCCTTAAAAGGATTTGCTTATAGGAGAATCTTAGTCACGCTGGCAAAGGGCAAAGTCTAGGTGCCTCTGGAACCTTCATCTTTGCAGACTCCTGACCATGAGCAGCCCCCAACCCATACCACTGAACCTTGTTCTGGAGTTCAAGACACTCCCCCTTTAGGCCTGTCATAAGTGTTAGTCCCCAGTGCTRTAAGACTTAAAATCACTGTTACTGAGGTAGGCCCAATCCATTAAATAGCCTAGTCCATTGGCTTTCTAAAGGTCACTAACCTGAGGAATGAGATTCTAGTAATGGGATTTCTTGTGGGGACAGAGCAGGGACTCTTCATATTATTCCTTCTCCTGACCAAAGAAATAGGAGCAGCCATAGGAATGACATAATACACTAAATACCATGAGACCAAACAGTGAAGTATGTGTCCGTGTTGCTAACCTCCTCTGTGTCCTACCCTATGTTGACATCCACTTCAATCACCATGTTTTATTATTCAATCGTTATGTACAATTACAATGTCTTACTACTAAATATTACTTTAAAGGGAGGAAAGAAACACTGAATTGTCCCCTTATGGTAGTTTGTGCCCTGAAACTATAATGTGCCTGTGTGTCCCCACTCTGTCTCCTGCAGGTGGGTCTCCATACCCAGGAGTACAAATGGATGAGGACTTCTGCAGTCGCCTGAAAGAAGGCATGAGGATGAGGGCCCCTGAGTACGCAACTCCTGAAATGTGAGCCAGCTTCTTCCTTCATTCCTCACCACAGCACCTCTGAAGGGAGTTGATGTGTTAGAATCCCCATCTTGAAAGATGCAAACAGTTATCCTTTTCTTGAGGGTTCCCTGTACTCAGCCTCTATTGGGCCCTTCTGTGCGGGGAGTGTTTTCCTGAAGTGGGATACACTATCCTTGATTCATCCCACTATTTCCTCCTGACCACTGGCATGATTTTCAAGGCTCTAGCTGGGAACTGAAGTTAGAAATTTAGTTTTTAGGTATAAATCCAGGCAAAAACAAATAGACCACCCAATAAGAGAATGCAAGACCTTGACCTCACTCACTAAGTGGGAGCCTAATGAGCTAAATCACCACATGGTCAAGGGCCGGAAGTACCCTTGACCATAAGTCCAATGGTGCTACAGACCCACGAGAGGCATGCTTTGGACTGTAGAACAAGTAGTGTAGGAGGGGGAAAGAAGAATTCTCTGATCAAAGCTATGATTATACTCCACAGAAGGTGACCTGGGCAATGTACCTTCTTTAAAATCCTTTAGAAATAGGCTCTGCTGCTGTCTGGACACTGAAGCAGACAGCTTCTTGAGGTGCCTTCCTGCTGTACCATCCTTCTGGTGACTCTAGGAAGGTGACAGGCTCTGTGTGAAGGCTTTCCCATTGTTGTGCACTCTTTTCCTGAGACTATGTGCATGTTTTGCAGTTTGAGGCCTGATCAGGAATGTGATGACACTTGCAGTTTTGTGGAGCTACTGACAAGGACTTGGGCCTCTCTGAGGCGGCACCGCCTTTCCTGAGTAGGCAGGCCCCCCCGCCCCCCCCCCAACATCCCACCCACACAATGGGGTCCTGTCAGAGCCCTGAGATGGCCTTTGGGGAGGAGTCGGGTAGTGAAGGAAGCGTGGGCTTGGCCAAAGGGCAAGGTTGCTGGCTCTTTCCTTCATCATCTTGGGATTAGGTCAGATCCTGGACAGGGAGCTGGATGAGAGAGACAGAGGACTCAGGCGTGAAGGCAGGACAGGGGAGCAACCTGCGAGCAGGGAAGAGGCAGGAGATTGTTTTCATCAGTCTTACATCGTGGCCTCTTCAGCAAAGCACAGGAAGTTTGAGGCAAGATCTCTTTCTGGGGCTGCAGAGTGAAATAGGCCTTATGAATTTTCACTTTCTTGAGTCCTTTAACTCAGTGGTTTAACATGAGATCATTTTGCACTTTATGCTTTCATAAATGTTTTCCCCATGTAGTCTAATGTGAATTTCCCACAACCTTCAGGATCAAGTAGGACAGATATTATAATCTGAATTTGACAAGTATCAAAACTAAGACTGAGAAGTATGCCCTCTGTCATCTAAGGGTAGCAGAGAGCCTCCATACAGATTTCCTGGACCATAGGGGTTGTTAAATTGGTAATACATCGCACATTCCCCAGCAGAAATGGTACTATGATATACCCATGCGTGCTATGCATTAAATATGTCCTTCACTTTTATATAATCTGAAAATCATAAATTCTCAATCACTAACAATAATAATAATTGCAGTTATTTTTACACAATATTAACTAAATGTTTATTTAGTGCTTATAAGCGCCAGACACTGTTTTAAGCACTTTTAATGTATATTAATTTGCTTCATGTTCATGACAACTCGGTAAAGTATGTGATTCTATTAACTCCATATTACAGATGAGAAAGCCAAGGCACAAAACATTGCTAATCAGTTGAGCAAACTCAGTCTAAGTTTAGAGTCCACAACATCATCTTACATACCAGTAGGATCTGTTTCCAGTTCTCAGCCAGGTTCTAGTCCAGAATAACTCTAGAGGTACAAAGTAACCTCCACTTTGGACTAAAGATTCCCCTAGACTTTATCAAGGCTTCAAATCTTTATATAAATTTCCTCCTTGTAGCCCCTGAGCCCTAAGCAACTTATAGACAGGGATGTGGTTTCTCAATTCTGGGAAGAAGGTCAAAGGAGTGGAATCTAGAAATGAGAAACCACAAATGAAACTAGAAAACAGCCAGTGGTCATAGGTGGTCCCTATTGCTAGTTTATTTTACAAATTTTAAAAAGTAAGATGTGACTTGGTGAGGGGCTGAGGCTGTGGCTCCGCAGTAGTGCACTTGCCCAGCATGTGTGAGGCACTGGGTTAGATTCTCAGCACTGCATATAAATAAATAAAATAAAGGTCTGTCAACAACTAAAAAAATATATTAAAAAAAAAGATATGACTTGGTGAAATGTTTCCTCAGAAGGCCAGGATTCAGGCCTTCAGCCATTTTCTCAAGTAAGTGAAAGCTGATGAGGTAATCTTGTTTGTTTCAGAAGTAGGAAGGGTTGAGAATAAAGTGCATCTTCTCAGAACTGTGATTTCATGACCTGAACTTGGCCTACAACGGTGTGCACTTGGGAACTTGGGTGATAGCTTGGAAAGGAAACTCTTCCCACAGTCCCTCACCCCAACTTGGGTGCAACTAGTGTTTCTTTACTTCATTAAACCTGTTTACTTAGTGGTGAAAACTGTATAACTGAGTGGAATCGTTGGTTCCTCGCCCAGAGCCTATTTAGTCAGATGCCTTTCAATAAGGGACACACTGATGTATGTTTTCTTTTTTCTTTTCCTTTGGTGTTTTCTGAGATGAYTTGTATTGAATTGTAGATTGGAGGAGTGGAATCTAGAAATGAGAAACCACAGATGAAACTAGAAAACAGCCAGTGGTCATAGGTGGTCCCTATTGCTTATTTCAGTAGGGAAGCAAGGGCAGTCCTGCTGGAGACAAGCTGGGGCTCTGCTGAATGAAATAAGCCCCCTGCTCCCTGGGCTCAGGCCCCACATGCTTGCTGGTTCAAGCCTTCCTTGCTTTTGCTATCTTTATGGATTAACTAGGTATATATTTAGTATTCTTCCAACCACCTCCTAGAATCTGCCTATTATTAAAAGTAAAAGAGCGTTGGATGGTTAGGCTTGAGTTAAGTAAAGCAGAAGCAGGCCACCCCTGCCACAGCCAGTGTACCCTAAGGGGAGGCACCTCAAATTTTTATCTAGTGCCCCCCTGTCTCTGTAGTATATATTTTTGTACCTACAATTAATTAGTAAAATGTGTAAACTTACCTTAAAATGAGGTTTATGTAGAGTTATATACACTGTGTGCCTTGTGCTATTTCTGCCCTTTTTAGCAGGCAGCTTCTAACAGGTGGGCCCAGGAACTCTGAATTGAGTGCCAGGATTTAAAGCACTCAGGAGAAAGTATCTTGAGCCCTTCATCAGCAGTACTATGGGTCAGGGAAACCTGGGACCTTTGGTGATTGTGGCTACCTGTCCTGTGTCTCTCAGAAAGGAAGGAAAGTAACCAGAGTAGGAGAATTAGTGGTCGCTTCCTCATTTCCCATGTCTTCAGTTTCTATAAATTGCAGCAGAGCCCCACATTGGCCAATCATTATGCACTCCACCACAGCCCCTGGAGTCAGGGGAAATAGGTACAGTAGGAAGTACAGGGGCAGTAGGGACCTAGAATCCCCTTCTGAGAAGTCTTGGATGAGGATTAAGGACAGGAACTCATTAAGACCAAATATCTGAATGGAAGATTCTCCTATGATCTTTATGAGCTCCTGACCCTTAATCAAAGACTCGGGATATCAGTCTCATTAGATACTTATTAGAAAATAGAGCCCAAAATTTCATTGGAAATCTTTCTTCCAAAGACTGGTGCCCAGGAAAGGTGTCTAAAGACCACATGGTGCCTCCAGACCCTGAGGTACCTGGAATTGTTTTCTTGGTTAAACCAGAATACTGGGACAAACACCAGACCCTTGGGATACATACACCTAGAACACATTGTTTGCCTCTCAGAAGTATTGTTAGTGAATGGTTTTTCTTGTTCTTCAGACTTTGGCCAACATGTAGATATATTATACACAGCAATCCAGTGAAGTCCTTACTGCCTAATTGGTAATGATGTTAAAGGAAGTCTAAGAGGACTCCCTTTCAGATTTCAGTGCTAGGAACAGCCACACTTCTTATGAGTACCCAATTTGTTTTTAACTCCTAGCTACTGTGCATCATATAATTGATTATTTCTTGGTTATCTTCAAAGTGTTCAGAATCCTGACGTAACTTTTGCATATGAACTTTTTCCATAGTTTTACCTTTTTTGTTTTTATTTTACTTTCCTCCTCGTATTCTTCTCTTCTTTAAACCTTTCTGTATTCTTACTATCTTCATTGATTACCTCATATACTTTGAAACAAAATAGGGATATACGAAAGAGAGCTACTAAAGGCACACATCTGACGAGGAACAGGGGTAGGATGACTATTGGAGTTTCTCGGACTTTTCCCTTAACAACACCCAATTCCCAGCCCTATGATAATGTTTGCAATGTGGCTGAAGAATTCATGGAAGGAACAGAGCTGTCTCTTCCCAGAAACTAGTCTAACGTCCTTCATGAGATATTTATGAAGTATTTTCTGGCCAGATCCTGCACTAAGTGAGGGTTATGGAGATGAGGTTCCAGACTAGTTCTGACCAGTTCCAAAGTCCCAACCCATTTAGATTTTGATCAGCCTCAGTCAGAGTCATCTCTGATCCAGAGGATCTTCTGAAAAAAGAGATAACTTAAATAAGCATTGCATACAGAACAGAGAGAGCCCAAAGAGAATAAATCCTTAATCCAGTGTGCGTGTGGACCTCTGGCATATGTTTTTCATAGAGGAGTAGATAGAGACCTCTACTCCAAGCAGACATGACCAAGAAATAAGCCCAATATCTTTACATCTAAAGTGATGGAGGAGAAGAATCACAGAAAAAAACCTGTTGAAATTGGAATCACAGAATAAGATTTGGCCTCTGAGATATTAACACAGATGTTTCAAATCCAGAAGCCTGGCTTGTACTTTTTTACCTTAGTATTGAGAGGCCAGTTTGTAATAGGAACTTTGAAATGCTGGGCAAACAATAATCAGCCATACACAGGAACCTTGCACACAGTACAAGGAACAACTGAAGTCCACACTTTTGGGGACCTTTCCTTTGGGAAGCAACCTGGGTCATGTACCCAGCACCCCCTCCTGTATCTGATACAGAGCCTAAAATCAGAGAACTGTGAAGACTTGAAAGTATATTTATTGAGATGTTGGCTTAAAATGACTTCTGTTACTACCCAAGAATGAAATAGGAATTGCCAACTATTCATCCATGGTGTGCAGCAGCTGTTTTTAACTTTTAGGACACTGTCCTGATTTTGAGAGTGAGTGTAAGAACATTCCACTTCATATCCAACTGCAAAGAACAGCGATGTTTCCTTTTCAAGAAGCTGTGCTTGATCCATAGGACTCAATCCTTCCATTCTGCAGAAGCCACAAGCACTCCAAAGAACCTGGGTCGCAAGAGCTCTGGAGGGTTGGTTTGTTAGTGGGCCTTGGTGGACTTGTTCTTCCACTGCTAGCAAGATATGGCCCATGCTGCCTCTTATGTGTTGGTGCTACAGACCCAGTCATAATAATGAAACAATATCACTACTATAAAAAGCATGATCGATCGATCGATCGATCGATCGATCTATCAGAAGAAGAAGAACAGCCCTCATTTTGCAACATGGCAGGCAGTCTATATAAATATATCCTGCTTTTCAGCTCTTCCTCTGTGCTTTCACCCAACAGCTACCAGATCATGTTGGACTGCTGGCACAAAGACCCAAAAGAAAGGCCACGATTTGCAGAACTTGTGGAAAAACTGGGTGATTTGCTTCAAGCCAATGTACAACAGGTAAAACTAAATTTATCTAGACTCTCATAGGCCAAATGCCTTTGAATGTGGTCAAGGGGGTGTGTTTGTTGGTTGTTTTAAGAGCTCTTAATAGAAAAGATGAGATCAGCCATTAAAAGTATGTCTGTACACAGAATTACCCTCTCAGAACACAAGCAAGAGTGGGCAAATGACATAGCTGAATTTGACATGATGTTTTACAGATATTGGTTGAAATAGAAATCTGTGCAATTAGAGTTCTGTCATTGCTATTTTAGGATGGTAAAGACTATATCCCACTCAATGCCATACTGACAGGAAACAGTGGCTTTACCTACTCAACTCCTACCTTCTCTGAGGATTTTTTCAAGGACAGTATTTCAACCCCGAAGTTTAATTCAGGAAGCTCTGATGATGTCAGGTAAGATTTTTTCCCCCAAACTTTCTATTACAGAAATTTCAAGCATTAAAAAAAAAAAAAAAGCCAGATGCCATTGTGCACGCCTATAATCCCAGCAGCTTGAGAGGCTAGACAGGAGGATTGCAAGTTCATCTCAAAATAAAAAACAAAAAGGGCTGGGATATAGCTCAGTAGTAAAGTGTCCCTGGGTTAAATCTCTAGTACCAAAAAAAAAAAAAAAAGAGAGAGAGAGAGATAAAAGAAACAAACAAACAAAAAGAGAGAAAAGAATTAAGTAATTATCACCCATATGTCCACCTCCTAAATTCAACCATTGTTAACAATTTGCCATATTTTGTATATATAGTTCAAATGTGGGCAGGGGTGGGCTATGTGTTTTTCTTTTTCTGAACCATTTTAAAGTGGGCTTATCACATTATAATACTTTACCCCTAAATCCTTTGTATATATCTCCTAAGGACATTCTCCTGTATAACCACACCAAAATTATCATACCAAAGAAATTACTTAATATCATCATCTAATGTTCAAATTTCCATAATTTTCTTCAAATGTCTTTTATAGATTTTTAAAAAAAGAATCCAGAATAACACATAACATTTTCTTAGGTTTCTTTAATCTTACTCTAGAACCATCCCCTTTGTTTTTTGCCCATTACATTAACTTTTTAAATTAAAACTGAGATGAGGGCTGGGGATGTGGCTCAAATGGTAGCGCGCTCGCCTGGCATGCGTGTGGCACGGGTTTGATCCTCAGCACCACATATAAACAAAGATGTTGTGTCCGCCGAAAACTAAAAAATAAAAATATTTWAAAAAAAACTGAGATGAAACTAAACAAATAAAACTGGCCCTTTTTTTTYCTTATTTAACAAATTAACATATCTTGCATTACTCTAAGCTAGTAATTACTCCACAGAGGAGATTAAAGAAGGGAGGGACAAAGAACAAATATTTATTGAGGGCCTCTCCTGGCCAGGGATTTGCTCGTTAGTGCTCATAATTACATATGTATTAAACATATTCAGTCCTCATAGTTACACAGACATGTGCTGTCATCTTGCACTGTGCGGGCTCTTTGGATATATTATATTCAAAACAATCCTGTGAAGTACATATAGCTTGTTATACAAATGAGGACATTAAGGCTCCAAAGAGGAGAACTTGTCAAAATTTGTGGCTAAAAAAATGGAAGAAAAGAGGATCTAACCCAGGAGTTCTGACCCTTCCTGTACCCTATGCAATCAAGACCTCTTTTTGGACCATTAGAAGGTCTTATGGGCATTCTGTCCACTTTATTGGCAGTAGACACAGTCCTCAGGTTTTGACCTCAGTTCTGCCACCATGGAAGGAATGGTGAAGAATTGCAACAGTCAGAAAACATTGATAGCTATCTGTGACAGGCTTTGAAGAAATCCAGTGGGCAGCCCAGACCCATGATGAATTTCAGGTCAGCAACACCAAGAGACCAAAGCAAATGAGTCATCCAGTTTTTAAAGAAGAGAAAACTAGCTTGGAGTAAATACCTTAGCAAAGCCTAATTGGGTTAGAGATGAGGGTGGGAATACAGTGTCAAAGTAATTTGGACCCTTCATATTTGTTGCTTAGCCTTATGCCTCAAAAGGAGCTGGCCTAGGATGTTAATGGTGATAGATTATCAGCCTGAGAAATTCAATCAATAGATGAACTTGCCTATGAGTAACTGTGTAGTGGATATCCCTGATGGTCTTTCCTAATAGGTTGTCAACAAAAAACAGTAGGTAGCAATCAAGAAATTATGCAAATCCTATTCATTTCTCCCAGTAAGTATTCACAGTACAGAATATACAAGACTGGCCCTAATACTCAATTATATGACTAAATCAGCTTTGTAACCTTGAAATGTCATTTTATTTGTCACCCCACATTTTGTAGGAAGTAGGATCTACACGTGATAAGGTTACATCACTTCCCTGGGCATCATTTCTCTCCTGTACCATAAAGTGTTTGGGCCAAATGATGTTTTAGGTCTTTTCTAGGTCTAATGTTTTCTGATTCCACAAAGGAACCCAGTGGGTCCTTTTGGAGTTTTGCTGAAAACCATGACATGTGAATTGACACCTATGGTAGGAAGGGTTATTGCTGTGAGGATTCCCAGTGGGCACAGCAGAAAACTTGAGCTGTAAGTTAGGCAATTGTGCTGGGAGTGATGGCACATGCCTATAATCCCAGCAACTTAGGAGGCTGAGGCAGGAGGATCACAAGTTTGAGGCCAGTCTGGGCATCTGAATAAGCCCCTCTTACAATAAAAAATAAAAAGGATTGGATTTGTAGCTCAGTGGTARAGCATCCCTGGGTTCAATCACCATTATAGAAAATGGAATTTTGATTTATCTTAGCCACAATACAATGCCTCTAAACTCCTAACTAATCAAAGGTAAGTGCATTTTCCTGTTTTAATTATTCTTTTTGTTTTTTCATTAGATATGTAAATGCTTTCAAATTCTTGAGTCTGGAAAGAATCAAAACCTTTGAAGAAYTTTCACCAAATACCACCTCCATGTTTGATGTAAGTCATGAAGTTTAGCTACTCAGTGCATCCTAACAGAACCCTTTCCTGGCTCCACCCAAACACCAACTCTAGGAATCTAGTAGCTCTTGGTGAAGGTCAGCAATCGGCAATGATTAAAATGATAGTATCATCTGGGCATGGTGGTGCATGCCTATAATCCCAGTGACTCTGGAGGCTGAGGCAGGAGGAAAGGAAGTTCCAGGCTAGCCTCAGCAAATTAATGAGACCCTGTCTTAAAGTAAAATTTTAGAAAAAGTACAGGGAGTGTACTGGATTTCATTCTCAGTGCAAAAAACAAAACAAACAAAAAACATGATAGTGTTTGGGAGACTGATAACCAGTCTTAGCTATGCAAAACTAATTTGAAAGTGAATTACATGGTTTGAAGATGAGCCATAATTCACTCCAGGGCCGAAGTCCTTTTTTGTAGAAATTTAGTCCCTTAAAAATTTCATGTGTTTCTAAGAATCTTGGCTCCTTTTTAAAAAAATATTTATTTTTTAGGTGTAGTTGGACACAATGCCTTTATTTTATTTACCCACCTTTATGTGGTGCTGAGGATCGAACCCAGGTCCCCACACATGCTAGGTGAGCGCTCTACCACTGAGCGCTCTACCCTAGCCCCAGCCCCAGAATCTTGGCTCTTATGATATATTCTTTCCTTGAAAGTAGTGGAGGAACTCCTAGTTGTCAGTGACTAGAACTTGTGATGCAGCAGCTTTGAGTCCAGAAGAAGTCCACCTAGGCTTTCGGTCCTTTTCCCCCTAGATTCTGCAGGCTGAACAGCCATGTTCCTACTCAGACACACTGGGAGAAGAAAACCAAGACAGCCTTGCAAACAAGAGCATCTCCCAGCTCTTCTTTTCAAAGCCCTAGATGTGAGGTTGAGAGAACAAGGAGAGGAGAGGAAGGTTGGCCAGGATGGCACTTCTCTCAGGGCAGATCCTAGGTACTCTGAATGTAATCTCCACACAAGCTCAGTGCCAGAGTCTAGAAGCAGGCCAGAAATGGCTCTCAGGACCCATCCACACCCACTGAGTTAGATACCACCTTGTCACAGATCCCAGGAGATTCCTGTGCACATTAAAGTTAGAGAAATGCTGATGATAATTGTATTCCACAAAGACCTGGAAGAACAACACTTGAAAGTTTTTCAAATGCATCACATAGTCAACGTGGCTATGAGACGAGCACAGTCACATTAAAAAACACAAAAACCTGCTGGATGTAGTGGTACACGCCTGTAATCCCAGCAGCTCGGGAGGCTGAGGCAGAAGGATCACCAGTTCAAAGCCAGCCTCAGAAAAAGCGAGGCACTAAGCAACTCACATCTCTAAATAAAATACAAAATATGGCTAGGGATGTGGCTCAGTGGTCGAGTGCCCCTGAGTTCAATCTCTGGTACCACCCCTCACACACACWCACAMAAAAAAAAACCATGTTGAACACACCAGACAGAGGGATAAGATGATTTAAAAATATAAACATTTAAATTTTAACTAGCAAAACACAAAGGTAACGTAGATGGAAATTTTGTTTTGTTGCTTGGTACATAGGGTGCAAGTCCAGAAAAACAATATGGAGCAAAACATGGAAGATTTCTCAACTTTAACACTAACCCTAATGTAGCRGTATAGCTATACTGTGACAGTTTGCTTGTTTGTTTAGGTGTTTACTGATAAAGATGTGAACACAACTCAGTAAGAGCCTTAGAGGAGTCCGGAACATGATATGAAGTCTGTTTTCTAGAATATGCCATATTAATAGTCATGGAGAGTCTACATAAAACTCAATGCTAAAGACAACTCCATGAAATCTAATCACTGGGAACTATGAACAAGGAGAGTCTAAAAATTTTGTAGAATCTTCAAGAAATCAAACTATATCTTTATAATTTCCCAGACTTTTTACATATTGTAACCACCAAATGAAAGCATACGCATAGCCAACCATCATCTGCCAAAATTAGTTTTAATATATCTATGTAATTCACATAAAAGTTTCCTGTGGCAAGTGCTAACCTGTTACCTGCTGTTTTCCTGTTGTTTAAGTCTATTTACTTTACCKTCAGGAGGAAGGGCTTCAAAGCCACTGTGAATAGATATTACTTGTAAATGATCCAGTTTGTAGTTGCTGATATGTAGATTTGTGTCAATAGGTAGGGATTGTGGAGACCAAGATCAGCACCTGGAGTGACCTCAGAGGTACATCCCAGTATCATCCCCCAGACTTAATGTGGACCGCTCTGGGCCAGGCAAGTGTTTAACCTTCTTCATTTGTTCCCCATTAGGACTATCAGTTGGACAGTAGCACTCTGCTGACCTCCCCTTTGCTGAAACGCTTCACCTGGACTGACAGCAAACCCAAGGCCTCACTAAAGATTGAGTAAGGAAGACGAGCACCTTTTCTGTCATCAACTGATGTGGGGAGGGTAAAGGAAGATACAAGGGAAGATGGTTTAATGAGGGATATTTGAGGACTAGACTACTTGCCTTCCTGAACAGAAAGCTGTTTTTCCCCAAAGGGCAAGAAAGGGGGCCATAAAATTGGGCAAATGCATACCAGACTCTAGGAAGGAAAGCTAGTGTTTAAGAGGGGAAAATGTTCACAAAATTCCTGCGAAACACATGAAACACAGAGCCTTAGAGGGAAGGTTCCTGAGCCCAGCTGTGAAGGTTATAGGTGGAAACATGCTTATGGGAGTAGGAAACAATGACCCCCCATTGTTCCCTGGAATAGCAGGATTTGTACGAGAGAGGTCCCACTACTGCCAGGCCTAAGACATGCCACTCTGAGAACTCAGCCCTTCCAAATAAGGACTTTCTACTTCTTGTTGATCCTGTTACTCTTTTCTCACTTGAGATTTCTCCACAGATCCCTGGCTTGTTTAGTCAGTTTCCCCCTCCATACCGTGGCCATTACTGTCAGAATTGCTTGGGATTGTGCTTTCTACTCGACTGTTCATAGGTGTCTTTTCAGCAACTCTATGCTAGTCTCTACCTCTGATTGTCCAAGCAGACATTCTCTCCTTTCCTGGACCAAATGCCTGCCCCTTTCACCTAAAGGCAGAACCCACTCCTCTTAAGTCAGGGATCAAGCAGACTTTTTCTCAAAGGCCAGATAGTGAGCTGGTCAGTTCTGCAGCCACAGACAATACATAAACAAGTAGGCATGACCGTGAATACATGAGAAGATGCTCAATATCATTAGTCATCAAGGAAATGCATATAAAAACCACCATGAGATATCACTTGACACCTTTGAAGATAGCTGCAATCAAAAAGTCTGTTGCAAAGCATGTGAAGAAATTAGAACACCTATACATTACTGGGATAATGTTCTTACAGGTTAGTAGTTGCTCAGAAGGTTAAATAGTTATCCAAATGAGGCAGTAATTTCACTTTTAATTATATACCCAAGAGAAATGAAAACTTATGCCCACACAAAAACTTATATACAAATCTTCCCAACATAATAATTCATAATAGCTAAAAGTAGAAACAACCCAAATGCCCATCAATTTATGGATAAATAAAATGAGATATATCTATACAATAGAATAGTATGTATACTATACTATTGTATGTATTGTATGTATGTATACTATTGTATGTATGTATTGTATGTATAATACTATAGTATGGATGAACCTTGAAAATATTATGCTAAGTAGAAGAACCTATTCATAAAATATTATGTCTTATATAGTTCCTTTTACATGAACGCCCAGAGTAGGCAAATCTAGAGACAAAAAGTGGACCAGTGGTTGTCAAGCCTGGTGGTATGGAAAAAGAGGAGAGACTACTAATGGATCTGGGTTTTGGAGAGTGTCCAAATGTTCCAAAATTGTGCTGGTGGTTGCACAATTTGTGTATATACTTGTTAGCTTCCCATTACTATAACAAAATACCTGATTGAGATAACTAACTTAGAAAAGGATTATTTTGGCTCCTGGTTTTGCATATTCCAGCCTAAGATCAAGCAGACCCATTGCTTTGGGCCTCAGATGGGAGTGTCAGATGTGATGGCTGGAAGCTTGTGGTGGTACAAACTGCTTGCCTCATGGCCAAGAACAAAGAGAGAAAGAGAAGGGGCCAGAGTTCCACAGTCCCTTTTGAGGTCATGTCCCCTGTGACTTAAGGACCTCCCACTAAGCCCTACCTCCTGAAGGTCTCACCATCTCCCAGTAGCACTACTCTGGGGACCAGCCATTTAGCACATGGACCTTTGGGGGCCATTAAAAATCCAAACTACAAGACTGAAAACCATTGATTTGCACACATTACATAGGTAAATTGTGCAGTATGTAAATTATATGTAATCAAGCTCTGGTTTAGAAGGAAACAAAACAGATGGCCTCCTGTGAATTTAGATGAACTATTATCTAAATCCAAGCAAAGATGACAACAAATCCCCCTATAGGATACTTAGCTTAATTCACCAAGTCAGTTGGAAAKATAAGGACATTTCCATACAAATGTCTGCATACTTGTTCCTTTTAAGGTAAGCACAACAAAAGTGCCAGAGCTGAGACAGCAGATTAGAGGACACAATGAGGAAAGGATGGATATAAGGAGAAAGTCAAATACTGTTCTTTTTTTCTTCTTCTTCTTATTTTGGAACACATCAGTAAGTGGGTGGCTACTTTTTTCTGGACTTTTGTTGAAGAAAACAAAACCGTAATTTGTGTCCTCTGAGAACACAGATATGCTCCTCCAGACCAGCCATTCACAAGGTTCTCTTCTTGGTCCTGCTCCTGTTAAATGACAACAAAAAATTAAAATATGAAGATAAGAKAAGCTTCTCTTCCTCCTGTATCCATCTTAGGCTGGATGTAACCTACAGAACGAACGACCCTGGAGCCTTTCTAGTAAAACACAGCCTCGTGATTTAAAAAGCTTTCCCTCTAGAACACAAGCATGATAGAAAGACAGATGTGACAGATGTACCACTTTTGTAACKCTCTTTGTTTCTTAAAATGATTTTAAAAATTACCACAAATGTGGTTGCTTAAAAATAAAGGAATTTACTTTTTCTTAGTTTTGGAGGCCACAAGTACGAAGGTATCGGCAGCCAAATTCCCTCCACAGGCTGTGGAGGAGAATCCATTCCTTGCCTCTTCAGCTTCTGGTGGTTTGGGGCATTCCTTGGCTTGTGGCTGAACCTCTCAGCTCCATCTTCACATGGACTTCTCCTCTCTGTGTGGTCATGATCTCCCTCTGCCTTCATGTGACTGTATTTGGGCCTCACTTGGATAAGTGTCACTCTACAGACCTGAGCTTAATCATATATTTTGCCATATGAACTGATATTCAGTTTCCCTGGATTTGACATGGCTATTTGCAAGTCAGGGTAAAGGACATTTTTTTTCTCATTGATCATATAAGCTATTTGACTTCAGAATACCTAAGTCTTGGAGTTATTTTCTACCTGGAATTAYGGATTTACACTAACTAATCATATATTACACCCTTAGCCACTGGCATTTCTCCTTCTGCCCAATGACACCAAGCTGGCATGAGGGAGCCAGTGTGCTGTTTTAGAACAAAGAAAATCTGATGAGACTTAAATGGCCTCCCTAATTAATTCTAGGACAGATGTGGACAAATGTCCCACTAAGAGAGTGGCTTCTAGTGTCTTATTTTGAGAAACCTGTTCTGTACATTTGTTTTCCTTTTCTCTTTTTAGCTTGAGAGTAACCAGTAAAAGTAAGGAATCAGGGCTTTCCGATGTCACCAAGCCTGGCTTCTTCCTGTCCAGCTGCGGACATATCAGATCTGCGCATGACAACTCAGAGCTGGGAAAGGAGGATTTGTGCTGCTCTCCACCCCCAGACTACAACTCCGTGGTGTTATACTCCACCCCGCCTGCTTAATGCATGACACAACCTTCTTTCTAGAAGCACAAGTGTACCTGCATTCTCAGAAAACTAGCTTTTGCCAGTATTATGCATATATGAGTTTACACCTTTACCTTTCCACAGGAGCCAGCTGCTTTTTGTGACTTTTAATAGTGCCTTTTTTTTTTTTTTTTTTTTTTTTTTACTAACAAGAATGTAACCCCAGATAGAGAATAGTGACAAGAACACTACTACTCAGTCCTCATGTTACTCCTATTAGAGAAACCCTTTCTAAGCCCAATGACTTACCTGCTCCAGTCCCTGAAGCCTTAAGGCACACAAAACAAGAGGACTCCAGGAGATCACTGGACTCTACTAGGTCAGCCCTTTACTGGAGGGATCGTGCGCTGACCTAAGCAGTGTCTCAGAAGACCTCTAGCAGGCCTAAGACATGTAAGAAAGAGAGGGAAGAATGGGAAAAAGAGGGGAGATGAGAGAGAAAACAAGACTAAGCATAAGACAGATTTTTGAGATGCATCATATCAGGAGGGAGTAGGAGAGGGCATCTGCAATGCCGCTTCCGTGGCTTCCCAGCCCTGACCAGTGGACTTTCAAGACACTAGCCAGGAGCACACAGGACAGAGAGGAAGGGACATTTCCTGGATTCTGGGAGACAAGGACAATTTTTTTTTATTAAAGCAAATCTTAAGACTTTACCTATAGGACTGGTTCTATAGCCATTCCTATGAGTGGATGTTTTGATTTATCGAATTAAGGGTGGCACTCAACTGTCAGCTCATACTATCAGCCTCTCTAGTGAAATACACTGAGAACTTTCCAGAGCTAGTTTGGCTCCAGAGCATGACGGCCTGGCACTTAGCATGTTGCTCATGGGAAGCTAAGTAGCTAAGTGGTCTGTTGGTCTGTTAGGAATGTCTACTATTGGGCTCAAAGCTGCAAGAAAAAATGATGTCAGATTGTATTTTGAATATTAATGTATAGACAAGACACTTAACTTTTTGTATCATCCTGTTGTGTACAGTTATTATAAAAGGAAGCTGAGGAGAATGAAAATGTAGTCTTATAGAGGGTTTTCTCTGTACCAAAACTAGAACTGATGGAATAAAATCCAATAAGGCAGAGTGAAAACTCTGTACCAGCCAAACCAAGTCACCCAGAGTTGGGACCTGAAGCAGAGGAAGTTAATTGTGATTCCTTTTATTTAGTAGAGATTCCAGTCTCATGCTAATCTGGAAAGATGTGGAAGAGCATTAACCAATGTTTATTAAGCACTTTATGCTCCTTGAGAAAAAAAGGTGATATGTAATTTATGTAAGATGTTTCTACAGTTGGGACTCAGGATATTAATTAATGAGCCGTCAAATACAGAAAAGCCTATTTCATCTGCTTTGGACCTTGCCTTGGGTCTGAGAATGGTGGAAATAGGGAGACAGGGTAGAAATAGGGAGACAGGGTAAGAAAGGGTGCCTACTTCTCCAAGATCTAGAGATAAGTGCACCCTGGGTCTCTAACATGGCTCTGTTGGATGCTGTCTATGCAAGTTATAGTTTGTGTACTTGGGATGTATGCAGCTGCTGAACCAGTCAAGAGCTGAACAAGCAACAGTGAATCACTTCTGGGAGAGCAGAGCATGTTTCCTTTTATGCATGTAACTTAAATCTAAGACCTGGACTCTCTAAGTATTAGAAGAATGTATACTTATTTTCCTATTTGCCACATTTCTTGTTTAAGTTCTTTGTATGAAGAAATAGGAGAGTCAGCACATTCCCCAGTGAGATAGTGGGTGCCCCATGGAAGCTCTTGGGGACTTCCCAGCCAGGACAGAGGAATGAAGCAGGTCTCTCTACCAGGAACTAAATTCAAATAAAATCAGGTAGAGCCAGAAGAGGGGAGAAATCTTTGTTCTTCCTCTATCCATACACAAACACTCCAGTGAAAGCTGGCAGTAATATAAATCAGGTAATTAGATGGAGGTTAAACAGAACACTCCAATCCTCTTTCAGATCACATAAGGATTCAGCAATTGATGATAAAAAGAAAACCTTAGCTATTCATGTGATATCTTGATTTTAATAACCTAATTCTGAATAAAAAAAAGATTTGGTATATACCCTTTTTCCAAAAAAGAAAAAATCTATTAGGATTCTGTTACTCAGCTTCTATAAGGACTGGGGCTTATAGCCTACATAAGTGCATCCTAAAAATGGTTCCATCTAGTCTTCATGTAGAAAGATAAATGGAAGCTTGTAATAATGGGTATATCTAATTGCAAAGCATTTGTTCATTAAAACAGCACTGAAAGTGAAAACACTAATTGATAGTAATATTAGAAACATTTGCCATTTATGACAAAAATGGTTAGCACTAACAAAAAACAAGTACTTCCTTCCAGGGCTTGTGAGATAATCTATGTATAACAGTATGGATGGAATGGGACTGAATGTACCTTGTGCAGATCTGTATCTAGTTAAACGCCCAAGAAATGATGCTCAGACATTAGTTTTAGCCAGGGGACAATTCTGTCCAAATGCTAAAAGATGTTGCTTAGTTTTTTTTTGTTTTGTTTTGTTTTTTAAAATCTATGTCTTATTTTACAGCCCATAAGAATGTCAAACATGAAACAGATACATGCCAACTCCACTTATATTGATTAAAGGAGGAGTGTATCTTTGACTGGCAGTGGCAGTAACTTTATGTGTATGTGTGTTTTTGTTTCATGCTTAACTATTTAAATAAACTGGAATTTTAAAGTTACTTTTATACAAATCAAGAATATATGCTACAGATAAAAGTAAGATATTGGTCCTACATTTCTAGTCATGATGAATGTATTTTGTATACTATTCATATAATAAAATTAACTTCCAAAAACATCTACATATTTTGTCCCTAACTTCCTTGTAAGTGGAAAAAAAGSGGTCATGAGTGTCTCTGGGTAAGGGGGCAGGGAGGACTGGAATTCTCAAAGATCTCATTAAACACCAGTTATTAAGCATAGCACAAGAAAGATAAACCAAATGCTACTAAAGAGAGGGCATGGAGCTTTCCATCATTACTACACAATAGCTGCTCTAAGCAATTGGAACACTGCAAACTGTAATAAATAAATTAAAAAACACAAAAACAAAATCAAACTAGGCAGATTGCCCAGAAAACCAAACACTAAAATGAATAAATTCATGAGACAAAGCATACACTGAGTGAGTGCTGGCTGCAGATGAAAGTACCCTCAATTAAAAAGAGGCAGTCTTCCCTAACCACTAATTTTCAGCTGATAAACAATTATCATAATTAAAGGGTGTGTGAGAATATGTGTGCACATGTGTGTTAGAGTTTATGTGCAGAAAACCATACAAAATGACAAGCAAAAGCACAAAATACAAGAACTTCCCCAAGAAAAGAACTTCTGACAAGGAGTCTTCAATTTGGTTTTGTGGATGATGTCCTAGGAGGAACAACACAGGTAATAACTATTAAACATAGAGTAAGTGACCAACACTCTGTCTTGGAAAGTGGCTGTGTCATTTATTACCTGCCTGACCACAGGTATGAAGCTAGATTGCAGAAACATAAGGAGAAAAATTGGGCCTACTTTCATGGGGACAGAGGTGAGAAAAGGGGATAAATGACTAACTTCAGTAAACTTGTAGTTAAGAGGGCAAGCATTGAAAACATTCAAGAAGCTGAAATCCTTTTGAAAATACTGGTTCTCATAACCATCACTCATTTGGGCAAATGATTTGAAGAATACTTGAGGTATCAGCATCACATCATAGTTTAGAAATTTTTTCATGACTCTGGAAACTTAYGGTATATTTGGAAATCCGCCCCACCACCCTACCAGCAGGATGCTTTAATAAGGTTTATTGGACTTCTCAGTGTTAAACACACTACCAGATTTTTTTGGTTTTACAGCTAGGAAATGTTGAAAAATATTCTGGATCCCAATACAGGGCTGGCCAACTTTCTGAGGAAAAACACAAAACACAACCTAACCCCAAAATCCAACTTGATGCTCCTAGTATTCTATTTTTTGGTCTGGATTGTGGTACATAAATGTGCTTACTGTGCGATAATTCAGACTGTACACTTATTTGTGAACTTTTACATACATGAACATATGTGTATATGTATGCTATATTCAAARAGATTATTAAATGAAAAAAATCCTGCCCCTTACTACCATGACTTTTCATGGAAGAAGCACCCATTTTTTAAAAGAGGAAGGGTTTAATCTTAGACTAAAACATTAACTACATATTTGAAATAAACCTGTACAGGTGCTTAATTTATGTCAAGATAAACCCATTGTAAACTGAAATTACCCTAACTCCACCAAATGTCCAAACTTAGCAGCACAGCACCACATAAATTGTTAGCTGTTTCTCCTTGTGATCATAGGGCTGAGTGGGAGCTGTGGTCACTACTACTGCCCAAGAAAGGATCCAAATCAAATTTCCAAGTATTGGTTTTTATTAAATGTGTATTGCTTTTACATCATAGAGTTGAAATAGTATAAGTCTAATCCTTGTAAATTAGGCACCATCATCTTTCATTTTCCATTTTAATTTGTACCCCAAAATAACTAATGAATATATGCTTTTCCATACATTGGGATCTGGAACCCATCTAGAGAAAGGAATTGCCATCATTTGAGGTGTTTAACACATGCCAGCAACTATCTGAGGAATAAACTCATTTTATTTCTGAGGCAATCTAACATGATACATATTATCAGATGCATACTTTTCATTCTGCTTTTTCTTCTAAATGGACAACCCAAGGATGCTGGTATACTTGACCCATTCCTCTCATCAACTTAGATGCTGCTCCAGCAATTCACCACCCATTCACCCCCAATGGACTCCGCACTTTCTACTAGACCATTATTTGTTATTTTGTTATTTGTCTTACAAAATAAAAAAATTGATCCCAAGTTCTTCTCCACCTACCACCCATTTCCTATTTTCCTTGACAGTAAAATTCCTGAAGCAAGTTGGTTATAAGACTTGTTTCCAGCTCTTGTTTCCCCCAGTCACTGTCAACCCTGCTCAAAGCCAGCAATCTAACTGGCACGCTCAAAGAAGACTGCTCTGCCTATCCATGAGCTGGTTGCTGAACCCAATGGTGAATTCTCAGTCCCAATCATACTTGACACATTAGCAGCTTCCTAAAAACACCTTCACTTTGATTCTAGAACATTACTTTCTTCCTCTCTCTCTAGCTACTTCTGTCCTTTTGGCTCATTTTACATGTATTCCCTGACCTTTGAACATTGCTCCAGGTACCCCAGAGCTCAGTTGTTGGAGCTTTTCTCTTTGTCTTTACTGACTCCTGTGACCTGAGCCAACATCAAGGCATTCTTAGGATGACTTTCATGTACAGATAGTCCTCTGCTCTAAACTCCAAACACATACAAGGACTAATCTGTTATTTCTTTTTAATGCTCTGGAAGACTATTTTCCAAAGTTAGTTGCCGCCATATCACCCATCCCACTAGACCTTAGGCAATGTGCCCCTGYCAATCCTGCATTGAATCCTGCATCACAGAATCAAGAGATGATTTCATGACTGACTTGTAATTAAAAGAATGTGGCAGGCATGACACTGCATGATGTAGAGGCTGGGTCAGAAAAGCCACATATAGGTGCTCAAGTGGCCAGTTTTCAAGTCAGACCAGCCCCAAGACTTGATTTCCTAGCTGAGGGCCCAAAGCAAGCACAAGCTTTTGCAGCTGTGCTCTATTCAAACTCCTGACCCACAGAATTCCAGAGCAGAATAAAATGTTTGTTTTATGCCATTAAGTTTCATGTTGTTACAACACAATAACATCCCAAATTTAACAGGTCCCAGACCGAAACTCCCAATGCCTCACTTTACATATCCTCAAACTCCCAAGTCTCTTTCAATGCAGGACAGTTCTCCATTCTAT